GACTGGAAAAAAAACTTGAGCCCCTGCCCCTGTATTATCATGTGCACGTCCCTGTTCTAGCTCCAAGGTGAATCTTCACTGCTCATGTTCTCCTCAGAAATAGTCACCTCACTCCCCTCAGGTTACTGTACACATGCACCAACTATCTGCTTCAGGTTTGGATGGAGCTTCATGGTTGTCTTTTGGAGAAATGAACAGTCAAGTTGTGTTTGAAATCTGATTTTTTTCAGGGGCAAAAGGAAGCCTCTGCATTCTTGTCAAATATGTAAACAGCATGTTTTTGCAGGTGCTAAAAAACAGACTCTGAGTGTGTGTGTGTGTGTGTGTGTGTGTGTGTGTGTGTGTGTGTGTGTGTGTGTGTGTGTGTGTGTGTGTGTATATGTGTGTGTATCCTGCAGTACTCTGTACTCCTGCAGTGGCCAAAAAGACTTTTAAGAATGTGGATTTTTGGGTCATCTTTGGCGCCCCCTAGAACTGCAGTACTCTGTACTCCTGCAGTGGCCAAAATGACTTTTAAGAATGTGGATTTTTGGGTCATCTTTGGTGCCCCCTAGAACGTAAACCGTGGGGTGCAGCGTCATGATTTTTACAACTTTGAATGGGCATGGGGTGTAGATTGCCCTGAGCAAATTTGGTATCGGTGGGACGAAAGCCTTAGGAGGAGATAGCCACATTCCAATGTGTGCGAATCGGCAAAAAATGCGAAATAGCCCTTTAACCGTACATTATACAGATACGCGCTTTTTGACTTTTTCGTAGATCTAATTGAGATACACGTGATTGTCAATTTTTGTGTCAATATGACAAAGCGTTCAGGCATGACACTCAACAATGTGTATTTTCATGTAAGGGGACAAGAAAAAATTGACTTTTTTCTCCTGCCATGGGGGGGCGCTCTTTTGGGGAGTAAAAATTCCTTCACAAATGTGTTGATGGCTGGACATTGCATCATCCTAGAAAACTTGGAGGGCAGTGAGGACAAAAATAAAAAGTTATAAGACTTTTAAGAATGTGGATTTTGGGTTATCTTTGGCGCCCCCTAGAACGTAAACCGTGGGGTGCATCGTCATGATTTGTACAACTTTTAATGGCCATGGGGGGTAGATTGGCCTGCGCAAATGTGGTGCCGGTCGATCGAAAGCCTTCGGAGGAGTTAGCGAAATTCCAATGTGTGCAGATCTGCAAAAAATGCAAAATAGCCCTTTAACCGTACATTATACAGATACGCGCTCTGTGACTTTTTTGTAAATCTTATTGAGATACACGTGATTGTCAAATTTTTTGTCAATATGACAAAGCGTTTAGGCGTGACACTCAACAATGTGTATTTTCATGTTAGGGGACAAGAAAAACTTGACTTTTTTCTCCTGCCATGGGGGGGCGCTCTTTTGGGGAGTAAAAATTCCTTCACAAATGTGTTGATGGCTTGACATGGCATCATCCTAGAAAACTTGGAGGCCAGTGAGGACAAAAATAAAAAGTTATAAGACTTTTAAGAATGTGGATTTTTGGGTTATCTTTGGCGCCCCCTAGAACGTAAACCGTGGGGTGCAGCATCATGATTTGTACAACTTTTAATGGCCATGGGGTGTAGATTGGCCTGAGCAAATGTGGTGCCGGTGGAACGAAAGCCTTCGGAGGAGTTAGCGAAATTCCAATGTGTGCGGATCGGCAAAAAATGCGAAATAGCCCTTTAACGGTACATTTGACAGATACGCCCGCGCTGACTTTTTTGTAGATCTTATTTAGATACACATGTGTGTCAAATTTTGTGTCATTTTGACAAAGTGTACAGGCGTCAGGTGAGTTTTCACCATAGGGGGCGCTATGCAGCCATTTTGCATTTTATTGTTTGGGCGACTTCAGAATATCAAATTTTTCACCAGGCCCGGTCGTCCTGCCAAATTTCCTGAGTTTTCGCCAGTGGGAAGTGGGCCATTTTCCAGTTTAAAGCGGAGGAAAAATAACGAAAGAAGAATCCATCAGGAACAAGAGGGCTCTCGCAGCTGCTTAGCAGCTACGCTCGGGCCCTAACGAAAGAAGGAAACATGCAGGAACAAGAGGGCTCTCGCAGCTGCTTAGCAGCTACGCTCGGGCCCTAAAGAAGAATCCATCAGGAATAATAGGGCTCTCGCAGCTGCTTAGCAGCTACGCTCGGGCCCTAACTAGGACCCCGTTGGGGCACTGGCGGGCCCGAGCTGTGTCGCGCCCCCCCCCCCAACGCGCTGCCTCCCCGTCCCATTTGTGTCCTCTGGCCATCGCCCTCTCTGGTAACGCCCATCACTGCAAAGACCCTTTTCCTTCATCGGCGTTTGCTGTTCTTCCTGCCAGTGCGTGTTGCTTTCACTTACACTTGCCACAGCCAGCCTCGTGAGTGCCTAGCCTATTGGATATTACTGTCACCTACACAGGACAGTCATTACCTTTCTATTAATACTTTGTTTTTTAATTTCACATTAATTTCCATATTGTATAAACGACTGGAAAAAACTTGAGCCCCTGCCCCTGTATAATCATGTGCACGTCTCTGTTCTAGCTCTAAGGTGAATCTTCACTGCTCATGTTCTCCTCAGAAGCAGTCACCTCACTCCCCTCAGGTTACTGTACACATGCACCAACTGCCTGCTTCAGGTTTGGATGGAGCTTCATGGTTGTCTTTTGGAGAAATGACCAGTCAAGTTGTGTTTGAAATTTGATTTTTTTCAGGGGCAAAAGGAGCCTCTGCATTCTTGTCAAATATGTAAATAGCATGTTTTTGCAGGTGCTAAAAACCAGACTCTGAGTGTGTGTGTGTGCGTGTGTGTGTGTGTCTGTGTGTGTGTGTGTGTGTGTGTGTGTGTGTGTGTGTGTGCGTTCAAGTCACATGACATATTTAACCGGATGTAGCTGCAAGACGGAGCCTCGTTGACTCTCCGTTTCAATTTATCTCAAAAGTGAGGACCTCAACCTATATACCAGTTTTTAAATTGTGTTGATAGGCCAAATAAAACCAGAGTTATGATAAATTATGTCCGCGATACTTGTTTTCTGCTTATTTTGATCACGTTCGGCGCTCGATCGCGCTGTATGAGACAGGAAAACATAGCATGCAGACATTAGCGACAGGTCTTACAGGCGGAAAAGGCTTGCCAAAAGAAAAAAAAAACACACCACAACATCTCTCCTATTGGTGGAAAACTTCACCACAACAACCAATCCAAAATTATATGGTGACTGATTGACAAGGGGCGGGAACTTACGTTCTTCCTGCAATATGAGAAGGGAGGGAGGGACTCTCAGCAGGGATGCAGTCTGGGACACGTAGTTGCAAACCTAGCGACTTTGTTGTTAGATTCAATGACTTTTCAGACCCCCTAACGACTTTTTTTTTAGAAAGAAAGTGACTTTTATCGACTTCTTCTGGAGTTTAGAGACTCTGACATGAAGCAGGCTTTCCTTACTGAGGAGTTAGCAACGCTGCTAAGGGTGAAGAGCCACACATGCGCTCCGAGCTCTGCATGGGAGACTGAAGCTGACAGAGCTGCAGCAGTTAGCAGGTTTCACCCTCAGAGACCACCAGGGGTTCATGTTGAGGCATTTTCAGTTTTTTTTTTTTTTTTTTTGCCATAGACACTGTCAGCACAATCTGCAGTTACACTAACAAAAATGCTGCAAAAAACAAAGAATTATGGAAAAATTACACATGGACTAACATAGAGGAGGATCTACACAAGTTTTTTACATCATGTTTTACATCATGCATCATTTACATCATGTTTTTTTGTAGTGGCATAAATAAAAAGTGACATTTGTGAGACTATACAGTGTTTTGTAAATAATTTTACAAAGAACACCTGGGCCATTGCCTGCATTTTGATGTCAATAGAGGTAAATTACTATGTTCTTTGTTAAAAATTTGCATATGTTTTGAAGTTTACAATTTTTATTTGAAGTTTAAGTTTTAAAAACAGTTCATCACACATATTTGTGGTTTTCACAGTAAAAACGTTACTTTTTTCCACTCGGATTTTATGTTTTGTGTGTGAATTTGGGTCCAATGTGTAAATATAGTATGTCAAAATGATAAAATAACTGTAAATTGACACAGGTGAGGTTGTGCTGAAAAAAATGATACCAGGCAAGGCAAGGTAAAAATTTTGTAAGAGGAAATATAAAGGTAAAATCTAAAGTAGTCAAAAACGGCCAATAGTGACTCACAGACTCCACAGACAAGTCCCTTTGGCGCCACTCAGTGGGCAAAACTACTTTGTCTACTGTAATGTATATTTGGGTCATCTTTGGCGCCCCCTAAAACGTAAACCGTGGGGTGCAGCGTCATGATTTTTACAACTTTGAATGGCCATGGAGTGTAGATTGGCCTGAGCAAATTTGGTGTCAGTGGGACGAAAGCCTTAGGAGGAGTTAGCGAAATTCCAATGTGTGCGAATCGGCAAAAAATGCAAAATAGCCCTTTTACCGTACATTATACAGATACGCGCTCTTTGACTTTTTCGTAGATCTAATTGAGATACACATGATTGTCAATTTTTGTGTCATTTTGCCAAAGCGTACAGGCGTGACAGTCAACAATGTGTATTTTCACCTTAGGGGACAAGAAAAAATGGACTTTTTTCTCCTGCCATGGGGGGGCGCTCTTTTAGGGAGTAAAAATTCCTTCACAAATGTGTTGATGGCTGGACATTGCATCATCCTAGAAAACTTGGAGGCCAGTGAGGACAAAAATAAAAAGTTATAAGACTTTTAAAAATGTGGATTTTTGGGTTATCTTTGGCGCCCCCTAGAACGTAAACCGTGGGGTGCAGCGTCATGATTTGAATAACTTTTAATGGCCATGGGGTGTAATTTGGCCTGAGCAAATGTGGTGCCGGTGGAACGAAAGCCTTCGGAGGAGTTAGCGAAATTCCAATGTGTGCGAATCGGCAAAAAATGCGGAATAACCCTTTAACCGTACATTTGACAGATACGCGCGCATTGACTTTTTCGAAGATCTTATTGAGATACATGTGTGTGTCAATTTTTGTGTCATTTTGACAAAGCGTATAGGCGTGACAGTCAACAATGTGTATTTTCACCTTAGGGGACAAGAAAAAATGGACTTTTTTCTCCTGCCATGGGGGGGCGCTCTTTTGGGGAGTAAAAATTCCTTCACACATGTGTTGATGGCTGGACATTGCATCATCCTAGAAAACTTGGAGGCCAGTGAGGGCAAAAATAAAAAGTTATAAGACTTTTAAAAATGTGGATTTTAGGGTTATCTTTGGCGCCCCCTAGAACCTAAACCGTGGGGTGCAGCGTCATGATTTGAATAACTTTTAATGGCCATGGGGTGTAGATTGGCCTGAGCAAATGTGGTGCCGGTGGAACGAAAGCCTTCGGAGGAGTTAGCGAAATTCCAATGTGTGCGGATCGGCAAAAAATGCGAAATAACCCTTTAACCGTACATTTGACAGATACGCCCGCACTGACTTTTTTGTAGATCTTATTGAGATACATGTGTGTGTCAATTTTTGTGTCATTTTGACAAAGCGTACAGGCGTGACAGTCAATAGTGTGAATTTTCACCTTAGGGGGCGCTATGGAGCCATTTTGCATTTTCTTGTTTGGGCGACTTCGGAATATCAAATTTTTCACCAGGCCCGGTCGTCCTGCCAAATTTCCTGAGTTTTCGCCAGTGGGAAGTGGGCCATTTTCCAGTTCAAAGGGGAGGAAAAAGAAAAAAGAAACAAAGACTAGGGCCCCGGTGGGGCACTGTCGGGCCCGAGCCGCGTCGCGGCGCCCCCAGCGCGACCGCCTCCCCCTCCCGATCGCATCACACTCAAGGTCCAAAGATGGTGTGCGCACTTGTCTGTGGTCATTTCCCATTATAATGAATGGGAGGCGCAGTTTCTACCAAAACGGTCGCTGCAGACAAACTACATGTCCTATTTGAAAAAAGTCTGGACCATGAGTGAGGGCACAAACACAGCTAGGATATATCCAAATGGCAAGTTGCTCCTCCTTACGGTGTTGCCAGGTGAGCGATGCGATTGAGCCATTGAGCGATGGGCAGGGTTAACTGGACTTTTTCTCCTGCCGTGGGGGGGGGGGGGGTATGTGGATTCTTTTAAGAATGTGGATATTTGGGTCATCTTTGGCGCCCCCTAGAACTTAAACCATGGGGTGCAGCGGCATGATTTTTACAACTTTGAATGGCCATGGGATGTAGATCGGCTTGAGCAAATTTGGTGTCGGTGGGAAGAAAGCCTTAGGAGGAGTTAGCCACATTCCAATGTGTGCGAATCGGCAAAAAATGCGAAATAGCCCTTTAACCGTACATTTTACAGATACGTGCCCATTGACTTTTTCGTAGATCTTATTGAGATACACGTGTGTGTCAAATTTTGTGTCATTTTGACAAAGCGTATAGGCGTGACAGTCAACAATGTGTTTTTTCACCTTAGGGGACAAGAAAAAATTGACTTTTTTCTCCTGCCATGGGGGGGCGCTCTTTTGGGGAGTAAAAATTCCTTCACAAATGTGTTGATGGCTGGACATTGCATCATCCTAGAAAACTTGGAGGCCAGTGAGGACAAAAATAAAAAGTTATAAGACTTTTAAATATGTGGATTTTAGTGTTATCTTTGGCGCCCCCTAGAACCTAAACCTTGGGGTGCAGCGTCATGATTTTGATAACTTTTAATGGCCACGGGGTGTAGATTGGCCTGAGCAAATGTGGTGCCGGTGGAACGAAAGCCTTCGGAGGAGTTAGCGAAATTCCAATGTGTGCGGATCGGAAAAAAATGCGAAATAACCCTTTAACCGTACATTTGACAGATACGGCCGCACTGACTTTTTTGTAGATCTTATTGAGATACATATGTGTGTCAATTTTTGTGTCAATATGACAAAGCGTACAGGCGTGACAGTCAATAGTGTGAATTTCCACCTTAGGGGGCGCTATGGAGCCATTTTGCATTTTATTGTTTGGGCGACTTCAGAATATCGAATTTTTCACCAGGCCCGGTCGTCCTGCCAAATTTCATGAGTTTTCGCCAGTGGGAAGTGGGCCATTTTCCAGTTCAAAGGGGAGGAAAAAGAAGAACTAGGACCCCGTTGGGGCACTGGCGGGCCCGAGCCGTGTCGCGTCCCCCCCCCAACGTGCTGCCTCCCCGTCCCATTTGTGTCCTCTGGCCATCGCCCTCTCTGGTAACGCCCATCACTGCAAAGACCCTTTTCCTTCATCGGCGTTTGCTGTTCTTCCTGCCAGTGCGTGTTGCTTTCACTTACACTTGCCACAGCCAGCCTCGTGAGTGCCTAGCCTATTGGATATCACTGTCACCTACACAGGACAGTCATTACCTTTCTATTAATACTTTGTGTTTTAATTTCACATTAATTTCCATATTGTATAAACGACTGGAAAAAACTTGAGCCCCTGCCCCTGTATAATCATGTGCATGTCTCTGTTCTAGCTCCAAGGTGAATCTTCACTGCTCATGTTCTCCTCAGAAATAGTCACCTCACTCCCCTCAGGTTACTGTACACATGCACCAACTATCTGCTTCAGGTTTGAAATGGAGCTTCATGGTTGTCTTTTGGAGAAATGACCAGTCAAGTTGTGTTTGAAATTTGATTTTTTTCAGGGGCAAAAGGAAGCCTCTGCATTCTTGTCAAATATGTAAACAGCATGTTTTTGCAGGTGCTAAAAAACAGACTCTGAGTGTGTGTGTGTGTCTGTGTGTGTGTGTGTGTGTGTGTGTGTGTGTGTATGTTGGCGTGTGTGTATATGTGTGTGTATCCTGCAGTACTCTGTACTCCTGCAGTGGCCAAAAAGACTTTTAAGAATGTGGATTTTTGGGTCATCTTTGGCGCCCCCTAGAACTGCAGTACTCTGTACTCCTGCAGTGGCCAAAATGACTTTTAAGAATGTGGATTTTTGGGTCATCTTTGGCGCCCCCTAGAACGTAAACCGTGGGGTGCAGCGTCATGATTTTTACAACTTTGAATGGGCATGGGGTGTAGATTGCCCTGAGCAAATTTGGTATCGGTGGGACGAAAGCCTTAGGAGGAGATAGCCACATTCCAATGTGTGCGAATCGGCAAAAAATGCAAAATAGCCCTTTAACCGTACATTATACAGATACGCGCTCTTTGACTTTTTCGTAGATCTAATTGAGATACACATGATTGTCAAATTTTGTGTCAATATGACAAAGCGTATAGGCGTGAATCTCAACAATATGTATTTTCACCTTAGGGGACAAGAAAAAATGGACTTTTTTCTCCTGCCATGGGGGGGCGCTCTTTTGGGGAGTAAAAATTCCTTCACAAATGTGTTGATGGCTGGACATTGCATCATCCTAGAAAACTTGGAGGGCAGTGAGGACAAAAATAAAAAGTTATAAGACTTTTAAATATGTGGATTTTAGGGTTGTCTTTGGCGCCCCCTAGAACCTAAACCGTGGGGTGCAGCGTCATGATTTGAATAACTTTTAATGGCCATGGGGTGTAGATTGGCCTGAGCAAATGTGGTGCCGGTGGACAGAAAGCCTTCGGAGGAGTTAGCGAAATTCCAATGTGTGCGGATCGGCAAAAAATGCGAAATAACCCTTTAACCGTACATTTGACAGATACGCCCGCACTGACTTTTTTGTAGATCTTATTGAGATACATGTGTGTGTCAATTTTTGTGTCATTTTGACAAAACGTACCGGCGTGACAGTGAATAGTGTGAATTTTCACCTTAGGGGGCGCTATGGAGCCATTTTGCATTTTCTTGTTTGGGCGACTTCGGAATATCAAATTTTTCACCAGGCCCGGTCGTCCTGCCAAATTTCATGAGTTTTCGCCAGTGGGAAGTGGGCCATTTTCCAGTTCAAAGGGGAGGAAAAATAATAACTAGGGCCCCGTTGGGGCACTGGCGGGCCCGAGCCGTGTCGCGCTGCCCCCCCCAACGCGCTGCCTCCCCGTCCCATTCGCGTCCTCTGGCCATCGTCCTCTCTGGTAACGCCCATCACTGCAAAGACCCTTTCCTTCATCAGCGTTTGCTGTTCTTCCTGCCAGTGCGTGTTGCTTTCACTTACACTTGCCACAGCCAGCCTCGTGAGTGCCTAGCCTATTGGATATCACTGTCATCTACACAGGACAGTCATAACCTTTCTATTAATACTTTGTTTTTTAATTTCACATTAATTTCCATATTGTATAAATGACTGGAAAAAACTTGAGCCCCTGCCCCTGTATAATCATGTGCACGTCCCTGTTCTAGCTCCAAGGTGAATCTTCACTGCTCATGTTCTCCTCAGAAATAGTCACCTCACTCCCCTCAGGTTACTGTACACATGCACCAACTATCTGCTTCAGGTTTGGATGGAGCTTCATGGTTGTCTTTTGGAGAAATGAACAGTCAAGTTGTGTTTGAAATTTGATTTTTTTCAGGGGCAAAAGGAAGCCTCTGCATTCTTGTCAAATATGTAAACAGCATGTTTTTGCAGGTGCTAAAAAACAGACTCTGAGTGTGTGTGTGTGTGTGTGTGTGTGTGTGTGTGTGTGTGTGTGTGTGTTGGCGTGTGTGTATATGTGTGTGTATCCTGCAGTACTCTGTACTCCTGCAGTGGCCAAAAAGACTTTTAAGAATGTGGATTTTTGGGTCATCTTTGGCGCCCCCTAGAACTGCAGTACTCTGTACTCCTGCAGTGGCCAAAATGACTTTTAAGAATGTGGATTTTTGGGTCATCTTTGGCGCCCCCTAGAACGTAAACCGTGGGGTGCAGCATCATGGTTTTTACAACTTTGAATGGGCATGGGGTGTAGATTGCCCTGAGCAAATTTGGTATCAGTGGGACGAAAGCCTTAGGAGGAGATAGCCACATTCCAATGTGTGCGAATCGGCAAAAAATGCGAAATAGCCCTTTACCCGTACATTATACAGATACGTGCTCTTTGACTTTTTCGTAGATCTAATTGAGATACACATGATTGTCAATTTTTGTGTCAATATGACAAAGCGTTCAGGCGTGACACTCAACAATGTGTATTTTCATGTAAGGGGACAAGAAAAAATTGACTTTTTTCTCCTGCCATGGGGGGGCGCTCTTTTGGGGAGTAAAAATTCCTTCACAAATGTGTTGATGGCTGGACATTGCATCATCCTAGAAAACTTGGAGGGCAGTGAGGACAAAAATAAAAAGTTATAAGACTTTTAAGAATGTGGATTTTTGGGTTATCTTTGGCGCCCCCTAGAACCTAAACCGTGGGGTGCAGCGTCATGATTTGTACAACTTTTAATGGCCATGGGGTGTAGACTGGCCTGAGCAAATGTGGTGCCGGTGGAACGAAAGCCTTCGGAGGAGTTAGCGAAATTCCAATGTGTGCGGATCGGCAAAAAATGCGCAATAACCCTTTAACCGTACATTTGACAGATACGCCCGCACTGACTTTTTTGTAGATCTTATTGAGATACATGTGTGTGTCAATTTTTGTGTCAATATGACAAAGCGTAAAGGCGTGACAGTCAATAGTGTGAATTTCCACCTTAGGGGGCGCTATGGAGCCATTTTGCATTTTATTGTTTGGGCGACTTCAGAATATCGAATTTTTCACCAGGCCCGGTCGTCCTGCCAAATTTCATGAGTTTTCGCCAGTGGGAAGTGGGCCATTTTCCAGTTTAAAGCGGAGGAAAAATAACTAGGACCCCGTTGGGGCACTGGCGGGCCCGAGCTGCCAAACTTCATGTCCTATTTGAAAAAAGTCTGGACCATGAGTGAGGGCACAAACACAGCTGGGATATATCCAAATGGCAGGTTGCTCCTCGTTACGGTGTTGCCTGGAGAGCGATGCGATTGAGCCATTGAGCGATGGGCAGGAAAAACTTGATATTTTTCTCCTGCCATGGGGGGGGGGAGAATGTGGATTCTTTTAAGAATGTGGAATTTTTGGTCATCTTTGGCGCCCCCTAGAATGTAAACCGTGGGGTGCAGCGTCATGATTTTTACAACTTTGAATGGCCATGGGGTGTAGATTGGCCTGAGCAAATTTGGTTTCAGTGGGACAAAAGCCTTAGGAGGAGTTAGCCACATTCCAATGTGTGCGAATCGGCAAAAAATGCAAAATAGCCCTCTAACCGTACATTTGACAGATACGCACGCGTTGACTTTTTCGTAGATCTTATTGAGATACACGTGATTGTCAAATTTTGTGTCAATATAACAAAGCGTACAGGTGTCACACTCAACAATGTGAATTTTCACCCTACGGGACAAGAAAAAATTGACTTTTTTCTCCTGCCATGGGGGGGCGCTCTTTTGGGGAGTAAAAATTCCTTCACAAATGTGTTGATGGCTGGACATTGCATCATCCTAGAAAACTTGGAGGCCAGTGAGGACAAAAATAAAAAGTTATAAGACTTTGAAATATGTGGATTTTAGGTTTATCTTTGGCGCCCCCTAGAACCTAAACCGTGGGGTGCAGCGTCATGATTTGAATAACTTTTAATGGCCATGGGGTGTAGATTGGCCTGAGCAAATGTGGTGCCGGTGGAACGCCAGCCTTAGGAGGAGTTAGCGAAATTCCAATGTGTGCGGATCAGCAAAAAATGCGGAATAACCCTTTAACCGTACATTTGACAGATACGCGCGCGTTGACTTTTTCGTAGATCTTATTGAGATACATGTGTGTGTCAAATTTTGTGTCAATATGACAAAGCGTACAGGCGTGACACTCAACAATGTGAATTTTCACCTTAGGGGACAAGAAAAAATTGACTTTTTTCTCCGGCCATGGGGGGCGCTCTTTTGGGGAGTAAAAATTCCTTCACAAATGTGTTGATGGCTGGACATTGCATCATCCTAGAAAACTTGGAGGCCAGTGAGGGCAAAAATAAAAAGTTATAAGACTTTTAAATATGTGGATTTTAGGGTTATCTATGGCGCCCCCTAGAACCTAAACCGTGGGGTGCAGCGTCATGATTTGAATAACTTTTAATGGCCATGGGGTGTAGATTGGCCTGAGCAAATGTGGTGCCGGTGGAAAGAAAGCCTTCGGAGGAGTTAGCGAAATTCCAATGTGTGTGGATCGGCAAAAAATGCGGAATAACCCTTTAACCGTACATTTGACAGATACGCCCGCACTGACTTTTTTGTAGATCTTATTGAGATACATATGTGTGTCAATTTTTGTGTCATTTTGACAAAGTGTAAAGGCGTGACAGTCAATAGTGTGAATTTTCACCTTAGGGGGCGCTATGGAGCCATTTTGCATTTTCTTGTTTGGGCGACTTCGGAATATCAAATTTTTCACCAGGCCCGGTCATCCTGCCAAATTTCATGAGTTTTCGCCAGTGGGAAGTGGGCCATTTTCCAGTTCAAAGGGGAGGAAAAAGAAGAACTAGGGCCCCGTTGGGGCACTGGCGGGCCCGAGCCGTGTCACACTGCCCCCAGCGCGACCGCCTCCCCCACCCGATCGCGTCACACTCAAGGTCCAAAGATGGTGTGCGCACTTGTTTGTGGTCATTTACCATTATAATGAACGGGAGGCGCAGTTTCTACCAAAACGCTCGCTGCAGAAAAACTCCATGTCCTATTTGAAAAAAGTCTGGACCATGAGTGAGGGCACAAACACAGCTAAGATATATCCAAATGGCAAGTTGCTCCTCCTTTCGCTTTTGCCGAGAGAGCAGTGCGTTTGAGCCATTGAATGATGAACAGGAAAAACTTGACTTTATTCTCCTGCCATGGGGGGGCGCTCTTTTAAAGAGAAAAACTCCTTCACAAATGTGTTGATGGCTGGACATTGCATCATCCTAGAAAACATGGAGGCCAGTGAGGACAAAAATAAAAAGTTATAAGACTTTTAAATATGTGGATTTTAGGGTTATCTTTGGCGCCCCCTAGAACCTAAACCGTGGGGTGCAGCGTCATGATTTGAATAACTTTTAATGGCCATGGGGTGTAGATTGGCCTGAGCAAATGTGGTGCCGGTGGAACGAAAGCCTTCGGAGGAGTTAGCGAAATTCCAATGTGTGCGAATCTGCAAAAAATGCGAAATAACCCTTTAACCGTACATTTTACAGATACGTGGCCATTGACTTTTTCGAAGATCTTATTGAAATACACGTGTATGTAAAATTTTGTGTCAATACGACAAAACATACAGGCGTAGCACTCAACAATGTGTATTTTCACCTTAGTGGACAAGAAAAAATGGACTTTTTTCTCCTGCCATGGGGGGGCGCTCTTTTGGCGAGTAAAAATTCCTTCACAAATGTGTTGATGGCTGGACATTGCATCATCCTAGAAAACTTGGAGGCCAGTGGGGACAAAAATAAAAAGTTATAAGACTTTTAAATATGTGGATTTTACAGTTATCTTTGGCGCCCCCTAGAACCTAAACCGTGGGGTGCAGCGTCATGATTTGAATAACTTTTAATGGCCATGGGGTGTAGATTGGCCTGAGCAAATGTGGTGCCGGTGGAACGAAAGCCTTCGGAGGAGTTAGCGAAATTCCAATGTGTGCGGATCGGCAAAAAATGCGGAATAACCCTTTAACCGTACATTTGACAGATACGCGCGCATTGACTTTTTCGTAGATCTTATTGAGATACATGTGTGTGTCAATTTTTGTGTCATTTTGACAAAGCGTACAGGTGTTACACTCAACAATGTGTATTTTCACCTTAGGGGACAAGAAAAAATGGACTTTTTTCTCCTGCCATGGGGGGCGCTCTTTTGGGGAGTAAAAATTCCTTCACAAATGTGTTGATGGCTGGACATTGCATCATCCTAGAAAACTTGGAGGCCAGTGAGGGCAAAAATAAAAAGTTATAAGACTTTTAAATATGTGGATCTTAGGGTTATCTTTGGCGCCCCCTAGAACCTAAACCGTGGGGTGCAGCGTCATGATTTGAATAACTTTTAATGGCCATGGGGTGTAGATTGGCCTGAGCAAATGTGGTGCCGGTGGAACGAAAGCCTTCGGAGGAGTTAGCGAAATTCCAATGTGTGCGGATCGGCAAAAAATGCGAAATAACCCTTTAACCGTACATTTGACAGATACGCCCGCACTGACTTTTTTGTAGATCTTATTGAGATACATGTGTGTGTCAATTTTTGTGTCATTTTGACAAAGCGTACCGGCGTGACAGTGAATAGTGTGAATTTTCACCTTAGGGGGCGCTATGGAGCCATTTTGCATTTTCTTGTTTGGGCGACTTCGGAATATCAAATTTTTCACCAGGCCCGGTCGTCCTGCCAAATTTCATGAGTTTTCGCCAGTGGGAAGTGGGCCATTTTCCAGTTCAAAGGGGAGGAAAAATAATAATAATAATAATAACACTAGGGCCCCGTTGGGGCACTGGCGGGCCCGAGCCGTGTCGCGCCGCCCCCAGCGCGACCGCCTCCCCCACCCGATCGTGTCACACTCAAGGTCCAAAGATGGTGTGCGCACTTGTTTGTGGTCATTTACCATTATAATGAACGGGAGGCGCAGTTTCTACCAAAACGCTCGCTGCAGAAAAACTCCATGTCCTATTTGAAAAAAGTCTGGACCATGAGTGAGGGCACAAACACAGCTAAGATATATCCAAATGGCAAGTTGCTCCTCCTTTCGCTTTTGCCGAGAGAGCAGTGCGTTTGAGCCATTGAATGATGAACAGGAAAAACTTGACTTTATTCTCCTGCCATGGGGGGCGCTCTTTTAAAGAGAAAAACTCCTTCACAAATGTGTTGATGGCTGGACATTGCATCATCCTAGAAAACATGGAGGCCAGTGAGGACAAAAATAAAAAGTTATAAGACTTTTAAATATGTGGATTTTAGGGTTATATTTGGCGCCCCCTAGAACCTAAACCGTGGGGTGCAGCGTCATGATTTGAATAACTTTTAATGGCCATGGGGTGTAGATTGGCCTGAGCAAATGTGGTGCCGGTGGAACGAAAGCCTTCGGAGGAATTAGCGAAATTCCAATGTGTGCGAATCTGCAAAAAATGCGAAATAACCCTTTAACCGTACATTTTACAGATACGTGGCCATTGACTTTTTCGAAGATCTTATTGAAATACACGTGTATGTAAAATTTTGTGTCAATACGACAAAACATACAGGCGTAGCACTCAACAATGTGTATTTTCACCTTAGTGGACAAGAAAAAATTGACTTTTTTCTCCTGCCATGGGGGGGCGCTCTTTTGCCGAGTAAAAATTCCTTCACAAATGTGTTGATGGCTGGACATTGCATCATCCTAGAAAACTTGGAGGCCAGTGAGGGCAAAAATAAAAAGTTATAAGACTTTTAAATATGTGGATCTTAGGGTTATCTTTGGCGCCCCCTAGAACCTAAAGCGTGGGGTGCAGCGTCATGATTTGAATAACTTTTAATGGCCATGGGGTGTAGATTGGCCTGAGCAAATGTGGTGCCGGTGGAACGAAAGCCTTTGGAGGAGTTAGCGAAATTCCAATGTGTGCGGATCGGCAAAAAATGCGGAATAACCCTTTAACCGTACATTTGACAGATACGCGCGCATTGACTTTTTTGTAGATCTTATTGAGATACATGTGTGTGTCAATTTTTGTGTCATTTTGACAAAGCGTACAGGTGTTACACTCAACAATGTGTATTTTCACCTTAGGGGACAAGAAAAAATGGACTTTTTTCTCCTGCCATGGGGGGGCGCTCTTTTGGGGAGTAAAAATTCCTTCACAAATGTGTTGATGGCTGGACATTGCATCATCCTAGAAAACTTGGAGGCCAGTGAGGGCAAAAATAAAAAGTTATAAGACTTTTAAATATGTGGATCTTAGGGTTATCTTTGGCGCCCCCTAGAACCTAAAGCGTGGGGTGCAGCGTCATGATTTGAATAACTTTTAATGGCCATGGGGTGTAGATTGGCCTGAGCAAATGTGGTGCCGGTGGAACGAAAGCCTTCGGAGGAGTTAGCGAAATTCCAATGTGTGCGGATCGGCAAAAAATGCGAAATAACCCTTTAACCGTACATTTGACAGATACGCCCGCACTGACTTTTTTGTAGATCTTATTGAGATACATGTGTGTGTCAATTTTTGTGTCATTTTGACAAAGCGTACAGGCGTGACAGTGAATAGTGTGAATTTTCACCTTAGGGGGCGCTATGGAGCCATTTTGCATTTTCTTGTTTGGGCGACTTCGGAATATCAAATTTTTCACCAGGCCCGGTCGTCCTGCCAAATTTCATGAGTTTTCGCCAGTGGGAAGTGGGCCATTTTCCAGTTCAAAGGGGAGGAAAAATAATAATAATAATAACAAAAGAAGGAAACTACAGGAACAAGAGGGCTCTCGCAGCTGCTTAGCAGCTACGCTCGGGCCCTAAAGAAAGAAACAAAGAAAAACCACTTGGGGAATAATAGGGCTCTCGCAGCTGCTTAGCAGCTACGCTCGGGCCCTAACTAGGGCCCCGTTGGGGCACTGGCGGGCCCGAGCCGTGTCGCGCCCCCCCCCCCCCCCCCCCCCAACGCGCTGCCTCCCCGTCCCATTCGCGTCCTCTGGCCATCGCCCTCTCTGGTAACGCCCATCACTGCAAAGACCCTTTTCCTTCATCGGCGTTTGCTGTTCTTCCTGCCAGTGCGTGTTGCTTTCACTTACACTTGCCACAGCCAGCCTCGTGAGTGCCTAGCCTATTGGATATCACTGTCACCTACACAGGACAGTCATACTTTGTTTTTTAATTTCACATTAATTTCCTTATTGTATAAACGACTGGAAAAATCTTGAGCCCCTGCCCCTGTATTATCATGTGCACGTCCCTGTTCTAGCTCCAAGGTGAATCTTCACTGCTCATGTTCTCCTCAGAAGCAGTCACCTCACTCCCCTCAGGTTACTGTACACATGCACCAACTGCCTGCTTCAGGTTTGGATGGAGCTTCATGGTTGTCTTTTGGAGAAATGAGCAGTCAAGTTGTGTTTGAAATTTGATTTTTTTCAGGGGCAAAAGGAAGCCTCTGCATTCTTGTCAAATATGTAAATAGCATGTTTTTGCAGGTGCTAAAAAACAGACTCTGAGTGTGTGTGTGTGTGTGTGTGTGTGTGTGTGTGTGTGTGTGTGTGTGTGTGTGTGTGTGTGTGTGTGTGTGTGTGTGTGTGTATCCTGCAGTACTCTGAGAAGAATAATAAGCATATTTCTGAGGTGAATTTTGAAGATTCATCTGAGAGTTAGGTTTGATTCGATTCGATTGACGCTCCCCAGCGTTCAAGTCACATGACATATTTAACCGGATGTAGCTGCAAGACGGAGCCTCGTTAACTCTCCGTTTCAACTTATCTCAAAAGTGAGGACCTCAACCTATATACCAGTTTTTAAATTGCGTTGATAGGCCAAATAAAACCAGAGTTATGATAAATTATGTCCGCGATACTTTTTTTCTGCTTATTTTGATCACGTTCGGCGCTCGATCGCGCTGTATGAGACAGGAAAACATAGCATGCACACATTAGCGACAGGTCTTACAGGCGGAAAAGGCTTGCCAAAAGAAAAAAAAAACACACCACAACATCTCTCCTATTGGTGGAAAACTTCACCACAACAACCAATCCAAAATTATATGGTGACTGATTGACAAGGGGCGGGCGCTTACGTTCTTCCTGCAATATGAGAAGGGAGGGAGGGACTCTCAGCAGGGATGCAGTCTGGGACACGTAGTTGCAAACCTAGCGACTTTGTTGTTAGATTCAATGACTTTTCAGACCCCCTAACGACTTTTTTTTAGAAAGAAAGGGACTTTTATCGACTTCTTCTGGAGTTTAGAGACTCTGACATGAAGCAGGCTTTCCTTACTGAGGAGTTAGCAACGCTGCTAAGGGTGCAGAGCCACACATGCGCTCCGAGCTCTGCATGGGAGACTGAAGCTGACAGAGCTGCAGCAGTTAGCAGGTTTCACCCTCAGAGACCACCAGGGGTTCATGTTGAGGCATTTTCAGTTTTTGTTTTTTTTTGCCATAGATTGTCAGCACAATCTGCAGTTACACTAACAAAAATGCTGCAAAAAACAAAGAATTATGGAAAAATTACACATGGACTGACATAGAGGAGGATCTACACAAGTTTTTTACATCATGTTTTACATCATGCATCATTTACATCATGTTTTTTTGTAGTGGCATAAATAAAAAGTGACATTTGTGAGACTATACAGTGTTTTGTAAATAATTTTACAAAGAACGCCTGGGCCATTGCCTGCATTTTGATGTAAATAGAGGTAAATTACTATGTTCTTTGTTAAAAATTTGCATATGTTTTGAAGTTTACAATTTTTATTTGAAGTTTAAGTTTTAAAAACAGTTCATCACACATATTTGTGGTTTAATTTCACATTAATTTCCATATTGTATAAATGACTTGAGCCCCTGCCCCTGTATAATCATGTGCACGTCCCTGTTCTAGCTCCAAGGTGAATCTTCACTGCTCATGTTCTCCTCAGAAATAGTCACCTCACTCCCCTCAGGTTACTGTACACATGCACCAACTATCTGCTTCAGGTTTGGATGGAGCTTCATGGTTGTCTTTTGGAGAAATGAACAGTCAAGTTGTGTTTGAAATCTGATTTTTTTCAGGGGCAAAAGGAAGCCTCTGCATTCTTGTCAAATATGTAAACAGCATGTTTTTGCAGGTGCTAAAAAACAGACTCTGAGTGTGTGTGTGTGTGTGTCTGTGTGTGTGTGTGTGTGTATATGTGTGTGTATCCTGCAGTACTCTGTACTCCTGCAGTGGCCAAAAAGACTTTTAAGAATGTGGATTTTTGGGTCATCTTTGGCGCCCCCTAGAACTGCAGTACTCTGTACTCCTGCAGTGGCCAAAATGACTTTTAAGAATGTGGATTTTTGGGTCATCTTTGGCGCCCCCTAGAACGTAAACCGTGGGGTGCAGCGTCATGATTTTTACAACTTTGAATGGCCATGGGGTGTAGATTGCCCTGAGCAAATTTGGTATCGGTGGGACGAAAGCCTTAGGAGAAGATAGCCACATTCCAATGTGTGCGAATCCGCAAAAAATGCGAAATAGCCCTTTAACCGTACATTATACAGATACGCGCTTTTTGACTTTTTCGTAGATCTAATTGAGATACACATGATTGTCAATTTTTGTGTCAATATGACAAAGCGTTCAGGCGTGACACTCAACAATGTGTATTTTCATGTAAGGGGACAAGAAAAAATTGACTTTTTTCTCCTGCCATGGGGGGGCGCTCTTTTGGGGAGTAAAAATTCCTTCACAAATGTGTTGATGGCTGGACATTGCATCATCCTAGAAAACTTGGAGGGCAGTGAGGACAAAAATAAAAAGTTATAAGACTTTTAAGAATGTGGATTTTGGGTTATCTTTGGCGCCCCCTAGAACGTAAACCGTGGGGTGCAGCGTCATGATTTGTACAACTTTTAATGGCCATGGGGGGTAGATTGGCCTGCGCAAATGTGGTGCCGGTCGAACGAAAGCCTTCGGAGGAGTTAGCGAAATTCCAATGTGTGCAGATCTGCAAAAAATGCAAAATAACCCATTAACCGTACATTTGACAGATACGCCCGCACTGACTTTTTTGTAGATCTTATTGAGATACATGTGTGTGTCAATTTTTGTGTCAATATGACAAAGCGTACAGCCGTCATGTGAATTTTCACCTTAGGGGGCGCTATGGAGCCATTTTGCATTTTATTGTTTGGGCGACTTCAGAATATCGAATTTTTCACCAGGCCCGGTCGTCCTGCCAAATTTCCTGAGTTTTCGCCAGTGGGAAGTGGGCCATTTTCCAGTTTAAAGCGGAGGAAAAATAATAACGAAAGAAGGAAACATGCAGGAACAAGAGGGCTCTCGCAGCTGCTTAGCAGCTACGCTCGGGCCCTAACTAGGACCCCGTTGGGGCACTGGCGGGCCCGAGCTGTGTCGCGTCCCCCCCCCAACGCGCTGCCTCCCCGTCCCATTTGTGTCCTCTGGCCATCGCCCTCTTTGGTAACGCCCATCACTGCAAAGACCCTTTTCCTTCATCGGCGTTTGCTGTTCTTCCTGCCAGTGCGTGTTGCTTTCACTTACACTTGCCACAGCCAGCCTCGTGAGTGCCTAGCCTATTGGATATCACTGTCACCTACACAGGACAGTCATTACCTTTCTATTAATACTTTGTTTTTTAATTTCACATTAATTTCCAAATTGTATAAACGACTGGAAAAAACTTGAGCCCCTGCCCCTGTATAATCATGTGCACGTCTCTGTTCTAGCTCTAAGGTAAATCTTCACTGCTCATGTTCTCCTCAGAAGCAGTCACCTCACTCCCCTCAGGTTACTGTACACATGCACCAACTGCCTGCTTCAGGTTTGGATGGAGCTTCATGGTTGTCTTTTAGAGAAATGACCAGTCAAGTTGTGTTTGAAATTTGATTTTTTTCAGGGGCAAAAGGAGCCTCTGCATTCTTGTCAAATATGTAAATAGCATGTTTTTGCAGGTGCTACAAACCAGACTCTGAGTGTGTGTGTGTGCGTGTGTGTGTGTGTCTGTGTGTGTGTGTGTGTGTGCGTTCAAGTCACATGACATATTTAACCGGATGTAGCTGCAAGACGGAGCCTCGTTGACTCTCCGTTTCAACTTATCTCAAAAGTGAGGACCTCAACCTATATACCAGTTTTTAAATTGTGTTGATAGGCCAAATAAAACCAGAGTTATGATAAATTATGTCCGCGATACTTGTTTTCTGCTTATTTTGATCACGTTCGGCGCTCGATCGCGCTGTATGAGACAGGAAAACATAGCATGCAGACATTAGCGACAGGTCTTACAGGCGGAAAAGGCTTGCCAAAGAAAAAAAAATACACACCACAACATCTCTCCTATTGGTGGAAAACTTCACCACAACAACCAATCCAAAATTATATGGTGACTGATTGACAAGGGGCGGGAACTTACGTTCTTCCTGCAATATGAGAAGGGAGGGAGGGACTCTCAGCAGGGATGCAGTCTGGGACACGTAGTTGCAAACCTAGCGACTTTGTTGTTAGATTCAATGACTTTTCAGACCCCCTAACGACTTTTTTTTAGAAAGAAAGTGACTTTTATCGACTTCTTCTGGAGTTTAGAGACTCTGACATGAAGCAGGCTTTCCTTACTGAGGAGTTAGCAACGCTGCTAAGGGTGCAGAGCCACACATGGGCTCCGAGCTCTGCATGGGAGACTGAAGCTGACAGAGCTGCAGCAGTTAGCAGGTTTCACCCTCAGAGACCACCAGGGGTTCATGTTGAGGCATTTTCAGTTTTTTTTTTTTTTTTTGCCATAGACACTGTCAGCACAATCTGCAGTTACACTAACAAAAATGCTGCAAAAAACAAAGAATTATGGAAAAATTACACATGGACTAACATAGAGGAGGATCTACACAAGTTTTTTACATCATGTTTTACATCATGCATCATTTACATCATGTTTTTTTGTAGTGGCATAAATAAAAAGTGACATTTGTGAGACTATACAGTGTTTTGTAAATAATTTTACAAAGAACACCTGGGCCATTGCCTGCATTTTGATGTCAATAGAGGTAAATTACTATGTTCTTTGTTAAAAATTTGCATATGTTTTGAAGTTTACAATTTTTATTTGAAGTTTAAGTTTTAAAAACAGTTCATCACACATATTTGTGGTTTTCACAGTAAAAACGTTACTTTTTTCCACTCGGATTTTATGTTTTGTGTGTGAATTTGGGTCCAATGTGTAAATATAGTATGTCAAAATGATAAAATAACTGTAAATTGACACAGGTGAGGTTGTGCTGAAAAAAATGATACCAGGCAAGGCAAGGTAAAAATTTTGTAAGAGGAAATATAAAGGTAAAATCTAAAGTAGTCAAAAACGGCCAATAGTGACTCACAGACTCCACAGACAAGTCCCTTTGGCGCCACTCAGTGGGCAAAACTACTTTGTCTACTGTAATGTATATTTGGGTCATCTTTGGCGCCCCCTAAAACGTAAACCGTGGGGTGCAGCGTCATGATTTTTACAACTTTGAATGGCCATGGAGTGTAGATTGGCCTGAGCAAATTTGGTGTCAGTGGGACGAAAGCCTTAGGAGGAGTTAGCGAAATTCCAATGTGTGCGAATCGGCAAAAAATGCAAAATAGCCCTTTTACCGTACATTATACAGATACGCGCTCTTTGACTTTTTCGTAGATCTAATTGAGATACACATGATTGTCAATTTTTGTGTCATTTTGCCAAAGCGTACAGGCGTGACAGTCAACAATGTGTATTTTCACCTTAGGGGACAAGAAAAAATGGACTTTTTTCTCCTGCCATGGGGGGGCGCTCTTTTAGGGAGTAAAAATTCCTTCACAAATGTGTTGATGGCTGGACATTGCATCATCCTAGAAAACTTGGAGGCCAGTGAGGACAAAAATAAAAAGTTATAAGACTTTTAAAAATGTGGATTTTTGGGTTATCTTTGGCGCCCCCTAGAACGTAAACCGTGGGGTGCAGCGTCATGATTTGAATAACTTTTAATGGCCATGGGGTGTAGATTGGCCTGAGCAAATGTGGTGCCGGTGGAACGAAAGCCTTCGGAGGAGTTAGCGAAATTCCAATGTGTGCGGATCGGCAAAAAATGCGGAATAGCCCTTTAACCATACATTTGACAGATACGCCCGCACTGACTTTTTTGTAGATCTTATTGAGATACATATGTGTGTCAATTTTTGTGTCATTTTGACAAAGCGTAAAGGCGTGACAGTCAATAGTGTGAATTTTCACCTTAGGGGGCGTGCTATGGAGCCATTTTGCATTTTCTTGTTTGGGCGACTTCGGAATATCAAATTTTTCACCAGGCCCGGTCATCTTGCCAAATTTCATGAGTTTTCGCCAGTGGGAAGTGGGCCATTTTCCAGTTCAAAGGGGAGGAAAAAGAAGAAAGAAAGAAACAAAGAAAAACCACTTGGGGAATAATAGGGCTCTCGCAGCTGCTTAGCAGCTACGCTCGGGCCCTAATAACAAAAGAAGGAAACTACAGGAACAAGAGGGCTCTCGCAGCTGCTTAGCAGCTACGCTCGGGCCCTAACTAGGGCCCCGTTGGGGCACTGGCGGGCCCGAGCTGTGTCGCCCCCCCCCCCCCCCCCCCCAACGCGCTGCCTCCCCGTCCCATTCGCGTCCTCTGGCCATCGTCCTCTCTGGTAACGCCCATCACTGCAAAGACCCTTTTCCTTCATCGGCGTTTGCTGTTCTTCCTGCCAGTGCGTGTTGCTTTCACTTACACTTGCCACAGCCAGCCTTGTGAGTGCCTAGCCTATTGGATATCACTGTCACCTACACAGGACAGTCATTACCTTTCTATTAATACTTTGTTTTTTAATTTCACATTAATTTCCATATTGTATAAACGACTGGAAAAAACTTGAGCCCCTGCCCCCGTATAATCATGTGCACGTCCCTGTTCTCGCTCCAAGGTGAATCTTCACTGCTCATGTTCTCCTCATAAGCAGTCACCTCACTCCCCTCAGGTTACTGTACACATGCACCAACTGCCTGCTTCAGGTTTGGATGGAGCTTCATGGTTGTCTTTTGGAGAAATGAGCAGTCAAGTTGTGTTAGAAATTTGATTTTTTTCAGGGGCAAAAGGAAGCCTCTGCATTGTTGTCAAATATGTAAATAGCATGTTTTTGCAGGTGCTAAAAAACAGACTCTGAGGTGTGTGTGTGTGTGTGTGTGTGTGTGTGTGTGTGTGTGTCTGTGTGTGTGTGTGTCTGTGTGTGTGTATCCTGCAGTACTCTGTACTCCTGCAGTGGCCAAAACGACTTTTAAGAATGTGGATATTTGGGTCATCTTTGGCGCCCCCTAGAACGTAAACCATGGGGTGCAGCGGCATGATTTTTACAACTTTGAATGGCCATGGGGTGTAGATTGGCCTGAGCAAATTTGGTGTCAGTGGGACGAAAGCCTTAGGAGGAGTTAGCCACATTCCAATGTGTGCGAATCGGCAAAAAATGCAAAATAGCCCTTTAGCCGTACATTTTACAGATACGCGCCCATTGACTTTTTCGTAGATCTTATTGAGATACACGTGTGTGTCAAATTTTTTGTCAATACGACAAAGCGTACAGGCGTGACACTCAACAATGTGTATTTTCACCTTAGGGGACAAGAAAAAATGGACTTTTTATTCCTGCCATGGGGGGGCGCTCTTTTGGGGAGTAAAAATTCCTTCACAAATGTGTTGATGGCTGGACATTGCATCATCCTAGAAAACTTGGAGGCCAGTGAGGACAAAAAAAAAATTTATAAAACTTTTAAGAATGTGGATTTTTGGGTTATTTTTGGCGCCCCCTAGAACCTAAACCATGGGGTGCAGCATTATGATTTGTACAACTTTGAATGGCCATGGAGTGTAGATTGGCCTGAGCAAATGTGGTGCCGGTGGAACGAAAGCCTTCGGAGGAGTTAGCGAAATTCCAATGTGTGCGGATCTGCAAAAAATGCAAAATAACCCTTTAACCGTACATTTGACAGATACACCCGCACTGACTTTTTTGTAGATCTTATTGAGATACATGTGTGTGTCAATTTTTGTGTCAATATGACAAAGCGTACAGGCGTGACAGTCAATAGTGTGAATTTTCACCTTAGGGGGCGCTATGGAGCCATTTTGCATTTTCTTGTTTGGGCGACTTCAGAATATCGAATTTTTCACCAGGCCCGGTCGTCCTGCCAAATTTCATGAGTTTTCGCCAGTGGGAAGTGGGCCATTTTCCAGTTTAAAGCGGAGGAAAAATAATAACTAGGGCCCCGGTGGGGCACTGTCGGGCCCGAGCCGTGTCGTGCCGCCCCCAGCGCGACCGCCTCCACCTCCCGATCGCGTCACACTCAAGGTCCAAAGATGGAGTGCGCACTTGTCTGTGGTCATTTCCCATTATAATGAATGGGAGGCGCAGTTTCTACCAAAACACTCGCTGCAGACAAACTACATGTCCTATTTGAAAAAAGTCTGGACCATGAGTGAGGGCACAAACACAGCTAGGATATATCCAAATGGATCCACCTTTCGCTTTTGCCGAGAGAGCGATGCGATTGAGCCATTGAGCGATGGGAAGGAAAAACTTGACTTTTTCTCCTGCCATGGGGGGAGGGGGGATGTGGATTCTTTTAAGAATGTGGATATTTGGGTCATCTTTGGCGCCCCCTAGAAGGTAAACCGTGGGGTGCAGCGTCATGATTTGTACAACTTTTAATGGCCATGGGGTGTAGATTGGCCTGAGCAAATTTGGTGTCAGTGGGACGAAAGCCTTAGGAGGACTTAGCGAAATTCCAATGTGTGCGAATCGCCAAAAAATGCAAAATAGCCCTTTAACCGTACATTTTCCAGATATTTGCGCATTGACTTTTTCATAGATCTTATTGAGATACACGTGATTGTCAAATTTTGGGTCATTTTGACAAAGCGTACAGGCGTGACACTCAACAATGTGTATTTTCACCTTATGGGACAAGAAAAAATGGACTTTTTTCTCCTGCCATGGGGGGGCGCTCTTTTGGGGAGTAAAAATTCCTTCACAAATGTGTTGATGGCTGGACATTGCATCATCTTAGAAAACTTGGAGGCGAGTGAGGACAAAAATAAAAAGTTATAAGACTTTTAAATATGTGGATTTTTGGGTTATCTTTGGCGCCCCCTAGAACCTAAACCGTGGGGTGCAGCATCATGATTTGAATAACTTTTAATGGCCATGGGGTGTAGATTGGCCTGAGCAAATTTGGTGTCAGTGGGACGAAAGCCTTAGGAGGAGTTAGCCACATTCCAATGTGTGCGAATCGGCAAAAAATGCAAAATAGCCCTTTAACCGTACATTTTACACTTACGTGCCCATTGACTTTTTCATAGATCTTATTGAGATACATGTGATTGTCAAATTTTTTGTCAATATGACAAAGCGTAAAGGCGTGACAGTCAACAATGTGTATTTTCACCTTTCGGGATAAGAAAAAATGGACTTTTTTCTCCTGCCATGGGGGGGCGCTCTTTTGGAGAGTTAAAATTTCTTCACAAATGTGTTGATGGCTGGACATTGCATCATCCTAGAAAACTTGGAGGCCAGTGAGGACAAAAATAAAAAGTTATAAGACTTTTAAGAATGTGGATTTTTGGGTTATCTTTGGCGCCCCCTAGAACCTAAACCGTGGGGTGCAGCGTCATGATTTGTACAACTTTTAATGGTCATGGGGTGTAGATTGGCCTGAGCAAATTTGGTGCCGGTGGAACGAAAGCCTTCGGAGGAGTTAGCGAAATTCCTATGTGTGCGGATCGGCAAAAAAAGCGAAATAGCCCTTTAACCGTACATTTGACAGATACGCCCACACTGACTTTTTTGTAGATCTTATTGAGATACACATGTGTGTCAAATTTTGTGTCATTTTGACAAAGCGTACAGGTGTCAGGTGAGTTTTCACCATAGGGGGCGCTATGGAGCCATTTTTCATTTTTTTGTTTGAGCGACTTCAGAATATCAAATTTTTCACCAGGCCTGGTCGTCCTGCCAAATTTCCTGAGTTTTCGTCAGTGGGAAGTGGGCCATTTTCCAGTTTAAAGCGGAGGAAAAATAACGAAAGAAGAATCCATCAGGAACAAGAGGGCTCTCGCAGCTGCTTAGCAGCTACGCTCGGGCCCTAATAATAACAAAAGAAGAATCCATCAGGAACAAGAGGGCTCTCGCAGCTGCTTAGCAGCTACGCTCGGGCCCTAACTAGGACCCCGTTGGGGCACTGGCGGGCCCGAGCCGTGTCGCCCCCCCCCCAACGCGCTGCCTCCCCGTCCCATTTGTGTCCTCTGGCCATCGCCCTCTCTGGTAACGCCCATCACTGCAAAGACCCTTTTCCTTCATCAGCGTTTGCTGTTCTTCCTGCCAGTGCGTGTTGCTTTCACTTACACTTGCCACAGCCAGCCTCGTGAGTGCCTAGCCTATTCGATATCACTGTCACCTACACAGGACAGTCATTACCTTTCTATTAATACTTTGTGTTTTAATTTCACATTAATTTCCATATTGTATAAACGACTGGAAAAAACTTGAGCCCCTGCCCCTGTATAATCATGTGCATGTCTCTGTTCTAGCTCCAAGGTGAATCTTCACTGCTCATGTTCTCCTCAGAAGCACTCACCTCACTCCCCTCAGGTTACTGTACACATGCACCAACTGCCTGCTTCAGGTTTGGATGGAGCTTCATGGTTGTCTTTTGGAGAAATGACCAGTCAAGTTGTGTTTGAAATTTGATTTTTTTCAGGGGCAAAAGGAGCCTCTGCATTCTTGTCAAATATGTAAATAGCATGTTTTTGCAGGTGCTAAAAACCAGACTCTGAGTATGTGTGTGTGTGTGTGTGTGTGTGTGTGTGTGTGCGTGTGTGTGTGTCTGTGTGTGCGTTCAAGTCACATGACATATTTAACCGGATGTAGCTGCAAGACGGAGCCTCGTTGACTCTCCGTTTCAACTTATCTCAAAAGTGAGGACCTCAACCTATATACCAGTTTTTAAATTGTGTTGATAGGCCAAATAAAACCAGAGTTATGATAAATTATGTCCGCGATACTTTTTTTCTGCTTATTTTGATCACGTTCGGCGCTCGATCGCGCTGTATGAGACAGGAAAACATAGCATGCAGACATTAGCGACAGGTCTTACAGGCGGAAAAGGCTTGCCAAAAGAAAAAAAAAACACACCACAACATCTCTCCTATTGGTGGAAAACTTCACCACAACAACCAATCCAAAATTATATGGTGACTGATTGACAAGGGGCGGGCGCTTACGTTCTTCCTGCAACATGAGAAGGGAGGGAGGGACTGTCAGCAGGGATGCAGTCTGGGACACGTAGTTGCAAACCTAGCGACTTTGTTGTTAGATTCAATGACTTTTCAGACCCCCTAACGACTTTTTTTAGAAAGAAAGGGACTTTTATCGACTTCTTCTGGAGTTTAGAGACTCTGACATGAAGCAGGCTTTCCTTACTGAGGAGTTAGCAACGCTGCTAAGGGTGCAGAGCCACACATGCGCTCAGAGCTCTGCATGGGAGACTGAAGCTGACAGAGCTGCAGCAGTTAGCAGGTTTCACCCTCAGAGACCACCAGGGGTTCATGTTGAGGCATTTTAATTTTTTTTTTTTTTTGTGCCATAGACACTGTCAGCACAATCTGCAGTTACACTAACAAAAATGCTGCAAAAAACAAAGAATTATGGAAAAATTACACATGGACTGACATAGAGGAGGATCTACACAAGTTTTTTACATCATGTTTTACATCATGCATCATTTACATCATGTTTTTTTGTAGTGGCATAAATAAAAAGTGACATTTGTGAGACTATACAGTGTTTTGTAAATAATTTTACAAAGAATGCCTGGGCCATTGCCTGCATTTTGATGTAAATAGAGGTAAATTACTATGTTCTTTGTTAAAAATTTGCATATGTTTTGAAGTTTACAATTTTTATTTGAATTTTAAGTTTTAAAAACAGTTCATCACACATATTTGTGGTTTTCACAGTAAAAACGTTACTTTTTTCACTCGGATTTTATGTTTTGTGTGTGAATTTGGGTCCATTGTGTAAATTCAGTATGTCAACATGATAAAATAACTGTAAATTCGCACAGGTGAGGTTGTGCTGAAAAAAAATGATACCAGGCAAGGCACGTGATTGTCAAATTTTGTGTCAATATGACAAAGCGTATAGGCGTGAATCTCAACAATATGTATTTTCACCTTAGGGGACAAGAAAAAATGGACTTTTTTCTCCTGCCATGGGGGGCGCTCTTTTGGGGAGTAAAAATTCCTTCACAAATGTGTTGATGGCTGGACATTGCATCATCCTAGAAAACTTGGAGGCCAGTGAGGACAAAAATAAAAAGTTATAAGACTTTTAAATATGTGGATTTTAGGGTTGTCTTTGGCGCCCCCTAGAACCTAAACCGTGGGGTGCAGCGTCATCATTTGAATAACTTTTAATGGCCATGGGGTGTAGATTGGCCTGAGAAAAATGTGGTGCCGGTGGAACGAAAGCCTTAGGAGGAGTTAGCCACATTCCAATGTGTGCTGATCGGCAAAAAATGCGGAATAACCCTTTAACCGTACATTTGACAGATACGCGCGCATTGACTTTTTCGTAGATCTTATTGAGTTACATGTGTGTGTCAATTTTTGTGTCATTTTGACAAAGCGTATAGGCGTGACACTCAACAATGTGTATTTTCACCTTAGGGGACAAGAAAAAATGGACTTTTTTCTCCTGCCATGGGGGGGCGCTCTTTTGGGGAGTAAAAATTCCTTCACAAATGTGTTGATGGCTGGACATTGCATCATCCTAGAAAACTTGGAGGCCAGTGAGGACAAAAATAAAAAGTTATAAGACTTTTAAATATGTGGATTTTACGGTTATCTTTGGCGCCCCCTAGAACCTAAACCGTGGGGTGCAGCGTCATGATTTGAATAACTTTTAATGGCCATGGGGTGTAGATTGGCCTGAGCAAATGTGGTGCCGGTGGAACGAAAGCCTTCGGAGGAGTAAGCGAAAATCCAATGTGTGCGGATCGGCAAAAAATGCGGAATAACCCTTTAACCGTACATTTACCAGATACGCGCGCATTGACTTTTTCGTAGATCTTATTGAGATACATGTGTGTGTCAATTTTTGTGTCATTTTGCCAAAGCGTACAGGTGTTACACTCAACAATGTGTATTTTCACCTTAGGGGACAAGAAAAAATGGACTTTTTTCTCCTGCCATGGGGGGGCGCTCTTTTGGGGAGTAAAAATTCCTTCACAAATGTGTTGATGGCTGGACATTGCATCATCCTAGAAAACTTGGAGGCCAGTGGGGACAAAAATAAAAAGTTATAAGACTTTTAAATATGTGGATTTTAGTGTTATCTTTGGCGCCCCCTAGAACCTAAACCTTGGGGTGCAGCGTCATGATTTTGATAACTTTTAATGGCCACGGGGTGTAGATTGGCCTGAGCAAATGTGGTGCCGGTGGAACGAAAGCCTTCGGAGGAGTTAGCGAAATTCCAATGTGTGCGGATCGGCAAAAAATGCGAAATAACCCTTTAACCGTAATTTTGACAGATACGGCCGCACTGACTTTTTTGTAGATCTTATTGAGATACATATGTGTGTCAATTTTTGTGTCAATATGACAAAGCGTACAGGCGTGACAGTCAATAGTGTGAATTTCCACCTTAGGGGGCGCTATGGAGCCATTTTGCATTTTATTGTTTGGGCGACTTCAGAATATCGAATTTTTCACCAGGCCCGGTCGTCCTGCCAAATTTCATGAGTTTTCGCCAGTGGGAAGTGGGCCATTTTCCAGTTCAAAGGGGAGGAAAAAGAAGAAAGAAAGAAAGAAAGAAAGAAAGAAAGAAACAAAGAAAAACCACTTGGGGAATAATAGGGCCTACGCCCGGCTGCTCTGCAGCTGGCTCGGGCCCTAAAGAAGGAAACTACAGGAACAAGAGGGCTCTCGCAGCTGCTTAGCAGCTACGCTCGGGCCCTAAAGAAAGAAAGAACTAGGGCCCCGTTGGGGCACTGGCGGGCCCGAGCTGTGTCACGCCTCCCCCAACACGACCGCCTCTCCCTCCCGATCGCGTCACACTCAAGGTTCAACGATGGTGTGCGCACTTGTCTGTGGTCATTTACCATTATAATGAATGGGAGGCGCAGTTTCTACCAAAATGCTTGCTGCAGACAAACTACATGTCCTATTTGAAAAAAGTCTGGACCATGAGTGAGGGCACAAACACAGCTAGGATATATCCAAATGGCAAGTTCCTCCTCCTTTCGTTTTTTTCCGAGAGAGCGATGTGTTTGAGCCATTGAGCGATGGGCAGGAAAAACTTGACTTTTTCTCCTGCCATGGGGGGGCACTCTTTTAGGGAGAAAAAATTCCTTCACAAATGTGTTGATGGCTAGACATTGCATCATCCTAGAAAACTTTGAAGCCAGTGAGGACAAAAATGAAAAGTTATAAGACTTTTAAGAATGTGGATTTTTGGGTCATCTTTGGCGCCCCCTAGAACGTAAACCGTGGGGTGCAGCGTCATGATTTTTACAACTTTGAATGGCCATGGGGTGTAGATTGCCCTGAGCAAATTTGGTATCGGTGGGACGAAAGCCTTAGGAGGAGATAGCCACATTCCAATGTGTGCGAATCAGCAAAAAATGCGAAATAGCCCTTTAACCGTACATTATACAGATACGCGCTTTTTGACTTTTTCGTAGATCTAATTGAGATACACATGATTGTCAATTTTTGTGTCAATATGACAAAGCGTTCAGGCGTGACACTCAACAATGTGTATTTTCATGTAAGGGGACAAGAAAAAATTGACTTTTTTCTCCTGCCATGGGGGGGCGCTCTTTTGGGGAGTAAAAATTCCTTCACAAATGTGTTGATGGCTGGACATTGCATCATCCTAGAAAACTTGGAGGGCAGTGAGGACAAAAATAAAAAGTTATAAGACTTTTAAGAATGTGGATTTTGGGTTATCTTTGGCGCCCCCTAGAACGTAAACCGTGGGGTGCAGCGTCATGATTTGTACAACTTTTAATGGCCATGGGGGGTAGATTGGCCTGCGCAAATGTGGTGCCGGTCGAACGAAAGCCTTCGGAGGAGTTAGCGAAATTCCAATGTGTGCAGATCTGCAAAAAATGCAAAATAACCCATTAACCGTACATTTGACAGATACGCCCGCACTGACTTTTTTGTAGATCTTATTGAGATACATGTGTGTGTCAATTTTTGTGTCAATATGACAAAGCGTACAGCCGTCATGTGAATTTTCACCTTAGGGGGCGCTATGGAGCCATTTTGCATTTTATTGTTTGGGCGACTTCAGAATATCGAATTTTTCACCAGGCCCGGTCGTCCTGCCAAATTTCCTGAGTTTTCGCCAGTGGGAAGTGGGCCATTTTCCAGTTTAAAGCGGAGGAAAAATAATAACGAAAGAAGGAAACATGCAGGAACAAGAGGGCTCTCGCAGCTGCTTAGCAGCTACGCTCGGGCCCTAACTAGGACCCCGTTGGGGCACTGGCGGGCCCGAGCTGTGTCGCGTCCCCCCCCCAACGCGCTGCCTCCCCGTCCCATTTGTGTCCTCTGGCCATCGCCCTCTTTGGTAACGCCCATCACTGCAAAGACCCTTTTCCTTCATCGGCGTTTGCTGTTCTTCCTGCCAGTGCGTGTTGCTTTCACTTACACTTGCCACAGCCAGCCTCGTGAGTGCCTAGCCTATTGGATATCACTGTCACCTACACAGGACAGTCATTACCTTTCTATTAATACTTTGTGTTTTAATTTCACATTAATTTCCATATTGTATAAACGACTGGAAAAAACTTGAGCCCCTGCCCCTGTATAATCATGTGCACGTCTCTGTTCTAGCTCCAAGGTGAATCTTCACTGCTCATGTTCTCCTCAGAAGCACTCACCTCACTCCCCTCAGGTTACTGTACACATGCACCAACTGCCTGCTTCAGGTTTGGATGGAGCTTCATGGTTGTCTTTTGGAGAAATGACCAGTCAAGTTGTGTTTGAAATTTGATTTTTTTCAGGGGCAAAAGGAGCCTCTGCATTCTTGTCAAATATGTAAATAGCATGTTTTTGCAGGTGCTACAAACCAGACTCTGAGTGTGTGTGTGTGCGTGTGTGTGTGTGTCTGTGTGTGTGTGTGTGTGTGCGTTCAAGTCACATGACATATTTAACCGGATGTAGCTGCAAGACGGAGCCTCGTTGACTCTCCGTTTCAACTTATCTCAAAAGTGAGGACCTCAACCTATATACCAGTTTTTAAATTGTGTTGATAGGCCAAATAAAACCAGAGTTATGATAAATTATGTCCGCGATACTTGTTTTCTGCTTATTTTGATCACGTTCGGCGCTCGATCGCGCTGTATGAGACAGGAAAACATAGCATGCAGACATTAGCGACAGGTCTTACAGGCGGAAAAGGCTTGCCAAAGGAAAAAAAATACACACCACAACATCTCTCCTATTGGTGGAAAACTTCACCACAACAACCAATCCAAAATTATATGGTGACTGATTGACAAGGGGCGGGAACTTACGTTCTTCCTGCAATATGAGAAGGGAGGGAGGGACTCTCAGCAGGGATGCAGTCTGGGACACGTAGTTGCAAACCTAGCGACTTTGTTGTTAGATTCAATGACTTTTCAGACCCCCTAACGACTTTTTTTAGAAAGAAAGTGACTTTTATCGACTTCTTCTGGAGTTTAGAGACTCTGACATGAAGCAGGCTTTCCTTACTGAGGAGTTAGCAACGCTGCTAAGGGTGCAGAGCCACACATGGGCTCCGAGCTCTGCATGGGAGACTGAAGCTGACAGAGCTGCAGCAGTTAGCAGGTTTCACCCTCAGAGACCACCAGGGGTTCATGTTGAGGCATTTTCAGTTTTTTTTTTTTTTTTTTTTGCCATAGACACTGTCAGCACAATCTGCAGTTACACTAACAAAAATGCTGCAAAAAACAAAGAATTATGGAAAAATTACACATGGACTAACATAGAGGAGGATCTACACAAGTTTTTTACATCATGTTTTACATCATGCATCATTTACATCATGTTTTTTTGTAGTGGCATAAATAAAAAGTGACATTTGTGAGACTATACAGTGTTTTGTAAATAATTTTACAAAGAACACCTGGGCCATTGCCTGCATTTTGATGTCAATAGAGGTAAATTACTATGTTCTTTGTTAAAAATTTGCATATGTTTTGAAGTTTACAATTTTTATTTGAAGTTTAAGTTTTAAAAACAGTTCATCACACATATTTGTGGTTTTCACAGTAAAAACGTTACTTTTTTCCACTCGGATTTTATGTTTTGTGTGTGAATTTGGGTCCAATGTGTAAATATAGTATGTCAAAATGATAAAATAACTGTAAATTGACACAGGTGAGGTTGTGCTGAAAAAAATGATACCAGGCAAGGCAAGGTAAAAATTTTGTAAGAGGAAATATAAAGGTAAAATCTAAAGTAGTCAAAAACGGCCAATAGTGACTCACAGACTCCACAGACAAGTCCCTTTGGCGCCACTCAGTGGGCAAAACTACTTTGTCTACTGTAATGTATATTTGGGTCATCTTTGGCGCCCCCTAAAACGTAAACCGTGGGGTGCAGCGTCATGATTTTTACAACTTTGAATGGCCATGGAGTGTAGATTGGCCTGAGCAAATTTGGTGTCAGTGGGACGAAAGCCTTAGGAGGAGTTAGCGAAATTCCAATGTGTGCGAATCGGCAAAAAATGCAAAATAGCCCTTTTACCGTACATTATACAGATACGCGCTCTTTGACTTTTTCGTAGATCTAATTGAGATACACATGATTGTCAATTTTTGTGTCATTTTGCCAAAGCGTACAGGCGTGACAGTCAACAATGTGTATTTTCACCTTAGGGGACAAGAAAAAATGGACTTTTTTCTCCTGCCATGGGGGGCGCTCTTTTAGGGAGTAAAAATTCCTTCACAAATGTGTTGATGGCTGGACATTGCATCATCCTAGAAAACTTGGAGGCCAGTGAGGACAAAAATAAAAAGTTATAAGACTTTTAAAAATGTGGATTTTTGGGTTATCTTTGGCGCCCCCTAGAACGTAAACCGTGGGGTGCAGCGTCATGATTTGAATAACTTTTAATGGCCATGGGGTGTAGATTGGCCTGAGCAAATGTGGTGCCGGTGGAACGAAAGCCTTCGGAGGAGTTAGCGAAATTCCAATGTGTGCGGATCGGCAAAAAATGCGGAATAGCCCTTTAACCATACATTTGACAGATACGCCCGCACTGACTTTTTTGTAGATCTTATTGAGATACATATGTGTGTCAATTTTTGTGTCATTTTGACAAAGCGTAAAGGCGTGACAGTCAATAGTGTGAATTTTCACCTTAGGGGGCGCTATGGAGCCATTTTGCATTTTCTTGTTTGGGCGACTTCGGAATATCAAATTTTTCACCAGGCCCGGTCATCTTGCCAAATTTCATGAGTTTTCGCCAGTGGGAAGTGGGCCATTTTCCAGTTCAAAGGGGAGGAAAAAAGAAGAAAGAAAGAAACAAAGAAAAACCACTTGGGGAATAATAGGGCTCTCGCAGCTGCTTAGCAGCTACGCTCGGGCCCTAATAACAAAAGAAGGAAACTACAGGAACAAGAGGGCTCTCGCAGCTGCTTAGCAGCTACGCTCGGGCCCTAACTAGGGCCCCGTTGGGGCACTGGCGGGCCCGAGCTGTGTCCCCCCCCCCCCCCCCCCCCAACGCGCTGCCTCCCCGTCCCATTCGCGTCCTCTGGCCATCGTCCTCTCTGGTAACGCCCATCACTGCAAAGACCCTTTTCCTTCATCGGCGTTTGCTGTTCTTCCTGCCAGTGCGTGTTGCTTTCACTTACACTTGCCACAGCCAGCCTTGTGAGTGCCTAGCCTATTGGATATCACTGTCACCTACACAGGACAGTCATTACCTTTCTATTAATACTTTGTTTTTTAATTTCACATTAATTTCCATATTGTATAAACGACTGGAAAAAACTTGAGCCCCTGCCCCCGTATAATCATGTGCACGTCCCTGTTCTCGCTCCAAGGTGAATCTTCACTGCTCATGTTCTCCTCATAAGCAGTCACCTCACTCCCCTCAGGTTACTGTACACATGCACCAACTGCCTGCTTCAGGTTTGGATGGAGCTTCATGGTTGTCTTTTGGAGAAATGAGCAGTCAAGTTGTGTTAGAAATTTGATTTTTTTCAGGGGCAAAAGGAAGCCTCTGCATTGTTGTCAAATATGTAAATAGCATGTTTTTGCAGGTGCTAAAAAACAGACTCTGAGTGTGTGTGTGTGTGTGTGTGTGTGTGTGTGTGTGTGTGTGTGTCTGTGTGTGTGTGTGTCTGTGTGTGTGTATCCTGCAGTACTCTGTACTCCTGCAGTGGCCAAAACGACTTTTAAGAATGTGGATATTTGGGTCATCTTTGGCGCCCCCTAGAACGTAAACCATGGGGTGCAGCGGCATGATTTTTACAACTTTGAATGGCCATGGGGTGTAGATTGGCCTGAGCAAATTTGGTGTCAGTGGGACGAAAGCCTTAGGAGGAGTTAGCCACATTCCAATGTGTGCGAATCGGCAAAAAATGCAAAATAGCCCTTTAGCCGTACATTTTACAGATACGCGCCCATTGACTTTTTCGTAGATCTTATTGAGATACACGTGTGTGTCAAATTTTTTGTCAATACGACAAAGCGTACAGGCGTGACACTCAACAATGTGTATTTTCACCTTAGGGGACAAGAAAAAATGGACTTTTTATTCCTGCCATGGGGGGGCGCTCTTTTGGGGAGTAAAAATTCCTTCACAAATGTGTTGATGGCTGGACATTGCATCATCCTAGAAAACTTGGAGGCCAGTGAGGACAAAAAAAAAAATTTATAAAACTTTTAAGAATGTGGATTTTTGGGTTATTTTTGGCGCCCCCTAGAACCTAAACCATGGGGTGCAGCATTATGATTTGTACAACTTTGAATGGCCATGGAGTGTAGATTGGCCTGAGCAAATGTGGTGCCGGTGGAACGAAAGCCTTCGGAGGAGTTAGCGAAATTCCAATGTGTGCGGATCTGCAAAAAATGCAAAATAACCCTTTAACCGTACATTTGACAGATACACCCGCACTGACTTTTTTGTAGATCTTATTGAGATACATGTGTGTGTCAATTTTTGTGTCAATATGACAAAGCGTACAGGCGTGACAGTCAATAGTGTGAATTTTCACCTTAGGGGGCGCTATGGAGCCATTTTGCATTTTCTTGTTTGGGCGACTTCAGAATATCGAATTTTTCACCAGGCCCGGTCGTCCTGCCAAATTTCATGAGTTTTCGCCAGTGGGAAGTGGGCCATTTTCCAGTTTAAAGCGGAGGAAAAATAATAACTAGGGCCCCGGTGGGGCACTGTCGGGCCCGAGCCGTGTCGTGCCGCCCCCAGCGCGACCGCCTCCACCTCCCGATCGCGTCACACTCAAGGTCCAAAGATGGAGTGCGCACTTGTCTGTGGTCATTTCCCATTATAATGAATGGGAGGCGCAGTTTCTACCAAAACACTCGCTGCAGACAAACTACATGTCCTATTTGAAAAAAGTCTGGACCATGAGTGAGGGCACAAACACAGCTAGGATATATCCAAATGGATCCACCTTTCGCTTTTGCCGAGAGAGCGATGCGATTGAGCCATTGAGCGATGGGAAGGAAAAACTTGACTTTTTCTCCTGCCATGGGGGGAGGGGGGATGTGGATTCTTTTAAGAATGTGGATATTTGGGTCATCTTTGGCGCCCCCTAGAAGGTAAACCGTGGGGTGCAGCGTCATGATTTGTACAACTTTTAATGGCCATGGGGTGTAGATTGGCCTGAGCAAATTTGGTGTCAGTGGGACGAAAGCCTTAGGAGGACTTAGCGAAATTCCAATGTGTGCGAATCGCCAAAAAATGCAAAATAGCCCTTTAACCGTACATTTTCCAGATATTTGCGCATTGACTTTTTCATAGATCTTATTGAGATACACGTGATTGTCAAATTTTGGGTCATTTTGACAAAGCGTACAGGCGTGACACTCAACAATGTGTATTTTCACCTTATGGGACAAGAAAAAATGGACTTTTTTCTCCTGCCATGGGGGGGCGCTCTTTTGGGGAGTAAAAATTCCTTCACAAATGTGTTGATGGCTGGACATTGCATCATCTTAGAAAACTTGGAGGCGAGTGAGGACAAAAATAAAAAGTTATAAGACTTTTAAATATGTGGATTTTTGGGTTATCTTTGGCGCCCCCTAGAACCTAAACCGTGGGGTGCAGCATCATGATTTGAATAACTTTTAATGGCCATGGGGTGTAGATTGGCCTGAGCAAATTTGGTGTCAGTGGGACGAAAGCCTTAGGAGGAGTTAGCCACATTCCAATGTGTGCGAATCGGCAAAAAATGCAAAATAGCCCTTTAACCGTACATTTTACACTTACGTGCCCATTGACTTTTTCATAGATCTTATTGAGATACATGTGATTGTCAAATTTTTTGTCAATATGACAAAGCGTAAAGGCGTGACAGTCAACAATGTGTATTTTCACCTTTCGGGATAAGAAAAAATGGACTTTTTTCTCCTGCCATGGGGGGGCGCTCTTTTGGAGAGTTAAAATTTCTTCACAAATGTGTTGATGGCTGGACATTGCATCATCCTAGAAAACTTGGAGGCCAGTGAGGACAAAAATAAAAAGTTATAAGACTTTTAAGAATGTGGATTTTTGGGTTATCTTTGGCGCCCCCTAGAACCTAAACCGTGGGGTGCAGCGTCATGATTTGTACAACTTTTAATGGTCATGGGGTGTAGATTGGCCTGAGCAAATTTGGTGCCGGTGGAACGAAAGCCTTCGGAGGAGTTAGCGAAATTCCTATGTGTGCGGATCGGCAAAAAAAGCGAAATAGCCCTTTAACCGTACATTTGACAGATACGCCCACACTGACTTTTTTGTAGATCTTATTGAGATACACATGTGTGTCAAATTTTGTGTCATTTTGACAAAGCGTACAGGTGTCAGGTGAGTTTTCACCATAGGGGGCGCTATGGAGCCATTTTTCATTTTTTTGTTTGAGCGACTTCAGAATATCAAATTTTTCACCAGGCCTGGTCGTCCTGCCAAATTTCCTGAGTTTTCGTCAGTGGGAAGTGGGCCATTTTCCAGTTTAAAGCGGAGGAAAAATAACGAAAGAAGAATCCATCAGGAACAAGAGGGCTCTCGCAGCTGCTTAGCAGCTACGCTCGGGCCCTAATAATAACAAAAGAAGAATCCATCAGGAACAAGAGGGCTCTCGCAGCTGCTTAGCAGCTACGCTCGGGCCCTAACTAGGACCCCGTTGGGGCACTGGCGGGCCCGAGCCGTGTCGCCCCCCCCCCCAACGCGCTGCCTCCCCGTCCCATTTGTGTCCTCTGGCCATCGCCCTCTCTGGTAACGCCCATCACTGCAAAGACCCTTTTCCTTCATCAGCGTTTGCTGTTCTTCCTGCCAGTGCGTGTTGCTTTCACTTACACTTGCCACAGCCAGCCTCGTGAGTGCCTAGCCTATTCGATATCACTGTCACCTACACAGGACAGTCATTACCTTTCTATTAATACTTTGTGTTTTAATTTCACATTAATTTCCATATTGTATAAACGACTGGAAAAAACTTGAGCCCCTGCCCCTGTATAATCATGTGCATGTCTCTGTTCTAGCTCCAAGGTGAATCTTCACTGCTCATGTTCTCCTCAGAAGCACTCACCTCACTCCCCTCAGGTTACTGTACACATGCACCAACTGCCTGCTTCAGGTTTGGATGGAGCTTCATGGTTGTCTTTTGGAGAAATGACCAGTCAAGTTGTGTTTGAAATTTGATTTTTTTCAGGGGCAAAAGGAGCCTCTGCATTCTTGTCAAATATGTAAATAGCATGTTTTTGCAGGTGCTAAAAACCAGACTCTGAGTATGTGTGTGTGTGTGTGTGTGTGTGTGTGTGTGTGCGTGTGTGTGTGTCTGTGTGTGCGTTCAAGTCACATGACATATTTAACCGGATGTAGCTGCAAGACGGAGCCTCGTTGACTCTCCGTTTCAACTTATCTCAAAAGTGAGGACCTCAACCTATATACCAGTTTTTAAATTGTGTTGATAGGCCAAATAAAACCAGAGTTATGATAAATTATGTCCGCGATACTTTTTTTCTGCTTATTTTGATCACGTTCGGCGCTCGATCGCGCTGTATGAGACAGGAAAACATAGCATGCAGACATTAGCGACAGGTCTTACAGGCGGAAAAGGCTTGCCAAAAGAAAAAAAAAACACACCACAACATCTCTCCTATTGGTGGAAAACTTCACCACAACAACCAATCCAAAATTATATGGTGACTGATTGACAAGGGGCGGGCGCTTACGTTCTTCCTGCAACATGAGAAGGGAGGGAGGGACTGTCAGCAGGGATGCAGTCTGGGACACGTAGTTGCAAACCTAGCGACTTTGTTGTTAGATTCAATGACTTTTCAGACCCCCTAACGACTTTTTTTTAGAAAGAAAGGGACTTTTATCGACTTCTTCTGGAGTTTAGAGACTCTGACATGAAGCAGGCTTTCCTTACTGAGGAGTTAGCAACGCTGCTAAGGGTGCAGAGCCACACATGCGCTCAGAGCTCTGCATGGGAGACTGAAGCTGACAGAGCTGCAGCAGTTAGCAGGTTTCACCCTCAGAGACCACCAGGGGTTCATGTTGAGGCATTTTAATTTTTTTTTTTTTTTGTGCCATAGACACTGTCAGCACAATCTGCAGTTACACTAACAAAAATGCTGCAAAAAACAAAGAATTATGGAAAAATTACACATGGACTGACATAGAGGAGGATCTACACAAGTTTTTTACATCATGTTTTACATCATGCATCATTTACATCATGTTTTTTTGTAGTGGCATAAATAAAAAGTGACATTTGTGAGACTATACAGTGTTTTGTAAATAATTTTACAAAGAATGCCTGGGCCATTGCCTGCATTTTGATGTAAATAGAGGTAAATTACTATGTTCTTTGTTAAAAATTTGCATATGTTTTGAAGTTTACAATTTTTATTTGAATTTTAAGTTTTAAAAACAGTTCATCACACATATTTGTGGTTTTCACAGTAAAAACGTTACTTTTTTCACTCGGATTTTATGTTTTGTGTGTGAATTTGGGTCCATTGTGTAAATTCAGTATGTCAACATGATAAAATAACTGTAAATTCGCACAGGTGAGGTTGTGCTGAAAAAAAATGATACCAGGCAAGGCACGTGATTGTCAAATTTTGTGTCAATATGACAAAGCGTATAGGCGTGAATCTCAACAATATGTATTTTCACCTTAGGGGACAAGAAAAAATGGACTTTTTTCTCCTGCCATGGGGGGGCGCTCTTTTGGGGAGTAAAAATTCCTTCACAAATGTGTTGATGGCTGGACATTGCATCATCCTAGAAAACTTGGAGGCCAGTGAGGACAAAAATAAAAAGTTATAAGACTTTTAAATATGTGGATTTTAGGGTTGTCTTTGGCGCCCCCTAGAACCTAAACCGTGGGGTGCAGCGTCATCATTTGAATAACTTTTAATGGCCATGGGGTGTAGATTGGCCTGAGAAAAATGTGGTGCCGGTGGAACGAAAGCCTTAGGAGGAGTTAGCCACATTCCAATGTGTGCTGATCGGCAAAAAATGCGGAATAACCCTTTAACCGTACATTTGACAGATACGCGCGCATTGACTTTTTCGTAGATCTTATTGAGTTACATGTGTGTGTCAATTTTTGTGTCATTTTGACAAAGCGTATAGGCGTGACACTCAACAATGTGTATTTTCACCTTAGGGGACAAGAAAAAATGGACTTTTTTCTCCTGCCATGGGGGGGCGCTCTTTTGGGGAGTAAAAATTCCTTCACAAATGTGTTGATGGCTGGACATTGCATCATCCTAGAAAACTTGGAGGCCAGTGAGGACAAAAATAAAAAGTTATAAGACTTTTAAATATGTGGATTTTACGGTTATCTTTGGCGCCCCCTAGAACCTAAACCGTGGGGTGCAGCGTCATGATTTGAATAACTTTTAATGGCCATGGGGTGTAGATTGGCCTGAGCAAATGTGGTGCCGGTGGAACGAAAGCCTTCGGAGGAGTAGCGAAAATCCAATGTGTGCGGATCGGCAAAAAATGCGGAATAACCCTTTAACCGTACATTTACCAGATACGCGCGCATTGACTTTTTCGTAGATCTTATTGAGATACATGTGTGTGTCAATTTTTGTGTCATTTGCCAAAGCGTACAGGTGTTACACTCAACAATGTGTATTTTCACCTTAGGGGACAAGAAAAAATGGACTTTTTTCTCCTGCCATGGGGGGGCGCTCTTTTGGGGAGTAAAAATTCCTTCACAAATGTGTTGATGGCTGGACATTGCATCATCCTAGAAAACTTGGAGGCCAGTGGGGACAAAAATAAAAATTTATAAGACTTTTAAATATGTGGATTTTAGTGTTATCTTTGGCGCCCCCTAGAACCTAAACCTTGGGGTGCAGCGTCATGATTTTGATAACTTTTAATGGCCACGGGGTGTAGATTGGCCTGAGCAAATGTGGTGCCGGTGGAACGAAAGCCTTCGGAGGAGTTAGCGAAATTCCAATGTGTGCGGATCGGCAAAAAATGCGAAATAACCCTTTAACCGTAATTTTGACAGATACGGCCGCACTGACTTTTTTGTAGATCTTATTGAGATACATATGTGTGTCAATTTTTGTGTCAATATGACAAAGCGTACAGGCGTGACAGTCAATAGTGTGAATTTCCACCTTAGGGGGCGCTATGGAGCCATTTTGCATTTTATTGTTTGGGCGACTTCAGAATATCGAATTTTTCACCAGGCCCGGTCGTCCTGCCAAATTTCATGAGTTTTCGCCAGTGGGAAGTGGGCCATTTTCCAGTTCAAAGGGGAGGCCTAAAAAGAAGGAAAAGAAAGAAAGAAAGAAAGAAAGAAAGAAAGAAACAAAGAAAAACCACTTGGGGAATAATAGGGCCTACGCCCGGCTGCTCTGCAGCTGGCTCGGGCCCTAAAGAAGGAAACTACAGGAACAAGAGGGCTCTCGCAGCTGCTTAGCAGCTACGCTCGGGCCCTAAAGAAAGAAAGAACTAGGGCCCCGTTGGGGCACTGGCGGGCCCGAGCTGTGTCACGCCTCCCCCAACACGACCGCCTCTCCCTCCCGATCGCGTCACACTCAAGGTTCAACGATGGTGTGCGCACTTGTCTGTGGTCATTTACCATTATAATGAATGGGAGGCGCAGTTTCTACCAAAATGCTTGCTGCAGACAAACTACATGTCCTATTTGAAAAAAGTCTGGACCATGAGTGAGGGCACAAACACAGCTAGGATATATCCAAATGGCAAGTTCCTCCTCCTTTCGTTTTTTTCCGAGAGAGCGATGTGTTTGAGCCATTGAGCGATGGGCAGGAAAAACTTGACTTTTTCTCCTGCCATGGGGGGGCACTCTTTTAGGGAGAAAAAATTCCTTCACAAATGTGTTGATGGCTAGACATTGCATCATCCTAGAAAACTTTGAAGCCAGTGAGGACAAAAATGAAAAGTTATAAGACTTTTAAGAATGTGGATTTTTGGGTCATCTTTGGCGCCCCCTAGAACGTAAACCGTGGGGTGCAGCGTCATGATTTTTACAACTTTGAATGGCCATGGGGTGTAGATTGCCCTGAGCAAATTTGGTATCGGTGGGACGAAAGCCTTAGGAGGAGATAGCCACATTCCAATGTGTGCGAATCAGCAAAAAATGCGAACTAGGGCCCCGGTGGGGCACTGTCGGGCCCGAGCCGCGTCGCGCCGCCCCCAGCGCGACCGCCTCCCCCTCCTGATCGCATCACACTCAAGGTCCAAAGATGGTGTGCGCACTTGTCTGTGGTCATTTCCCATTATAATGAATGGGAGGCGCAGTTTCTACCAAAACGGTCGCTGCAGACAAACTACATGTCCTATTTGAAAAAAGTGTGGATCATGAGTGAGGGCACAAACACAGCTAGGATATATCCAAATGGCAAGTTGCTCCTCCTTACGGTGTTGCCAGGAGAGCGATGCGATTGAGCCATTGAGCGATGGGCAGGGTTAACTGGACTTTTTCTCCTGCCTTGGGGGGGGGGGATGTGGATTCTTTTAAGAATGTGGATATTTGGGTCATCTTTGGCGCCCCCTAGAACGTAAACCATGGGGTGCAGCGGCATGATTTTTACAACTTTGAATGGCCATGGGATGTAGATTCCTTCACAAATGTGGTGATGGCTGGACATTGCATCATCCTAGAAAACTTGGAGGCCAGTGAGGACAAAAATAAAAAGTTATAAGACTTTAAATAATGTGGATTTTTGGGTTATCTTTGGCGCCCCCTAGAACCTAAACCGTGGAGTGCAGCGTCATGATTTGTACAACTTTTAATGGCCATGGGGTGTAGATTGGCCTGAGCAAATTTGGTGGCGGTGGAACTAAAGCCTTCGGAGGAGTTAGCGAAATTCCAATGTGTGCGGATCGGGAAAAAATGCGAAATAACCCTTTAACCGTACATTTTACAGATACGTGCCCATTGACTTTTTCGTAGATCTTATTGAGATACACGTGATTGTCAAATTTTGGGTCAATATGACAAAGCGTATAGGCGTGACACTCAACAATGTGTATTTTCACCTTAGGGGACAAGAAAAAATGGACTTTTTTCTCCTGCCATGTGGGGGCGCTCTTTTGGGGAGTAAAAATTCCTTCACAAATGTGGTGATGGCTGGACATTGCATCATCCTAGAGAACTTGGAGGCCAGTGAGGACAAAAATAAAAAGTTATAAGACTTTTAAGACTGTGGATTTTAGGGTTATCTTTGGCGCCCCCTAGAACGTAAACCGTGGGGTGCAGCGTCATGATTTGTACAACTTTTAATGGCCATGGGGTGTAGATTGGCCTGAGCAAATGTGGTGCCGGTGGAACGAATGCCTTCGGAGGAGTTAGCGAAATTCCAATGTGTGCAGATCGGCAAAAATGCGAAATAACCCTCTAACCATACATTTCACAGATGCGCCCGCGCTGACTTTTTCGTAGACCGTATTGAGATACACGTGTGTGTCAATTTTTGTGTCAATATGACAAAGCGTACAGGCGTGACAGTCAATAGTGTGAATTTTCGCCTTAGGGGGCGCTATGGAGCCATTTTGCATTTTATTGTTTGGGCGACTTCAGAATATCGAATTTTTCACCAGGCCCGGTCGTCCTGCCAAATTTCATGAGTTTTCGCCAGTGGGAAGTGGGCCATTTTCCCCTTCAAAGGGGAGGAAAAATAAGAAGAAAGAAAGAAAGAAGAAAGAAAAACCTATACAGGAATAATAGGGCTCTACGCCCGGCTGCTCTGCAGCTGGCTCGGGCCCTAAAAAACCACTTGGGGAATAATAGGGCTCTCACAGCTGCTTAGCAGCTACGCTCGGGCCCTAATAATAACAAAAGAAGAATCCATCAGGAACAAGAGGGCTCTCGCAGCTGCTTAGCAGCTACGCTCGGGCCCTAAAGAAAGAAAGAAGAAAGAAAAACCTATACAGGAATAATAGGGCTCTACGCCCGGCTGCTCTGCAGCTGGCTCGGGCCCTAATAATTCTCCTGAAATTATAGGCTGTGAGGCCACAGACAGAGAGTCTGCAGGAGCTCAGGAGCAGGATCTGTGTATCTATTTTTTTTTTTTTTTTCAAATTAAGAAGATGAGGAAAAACAAACAGAGAAACTGCCAAGAAGGAGGTTGTCAGGGTTAATTATTATGTTTCTCTGCTATAAAAAAAAAATTCAGACATATGTTGTGTTGCAGGATGCTAACTGGATAATCTGTAAAGTCTGTGATTGTGGTCACAGCAGGGTCTAGTAGGGCACTTAGGAGACCTCCACGTACACCCCCCCCCCCCCCTTATTTTTTTTTCTAGTCAGGATTTTTATCATCCTTAAGACCTCTAAAAAAAGGATTTTTTATGTTCCCAAGAAAGATTTATTTCCCAAAGGTGTGTTTTTTAATGTTTTGTTACCCCTATGACACAAACGTTTTTGCTGGCAGGATTACTAATGACACTGTCTTTCCAAGAGCGTGGCATGGTCAAATTTTGAGGTAGAAAAAAAGTAAAGATACCATTGTATTCTGGACAACCACAGCTTTCCAATGGGACCACCCATGCCATGTTTGCTCATTGGGAAGGGGGAGAAATACCTAATTATTCAAAGTTAAACAACTTTTTTGCAAAGGAAAAACGACCATCACCATATTCCAAATAGTCCCTTGACTTGTCACCTCAATATATGTTAGTGAAAATGGGTTAAACGTGTTCCCACAAGCCTCCCCTTTACATACATGCCACATTTATGGCAAACACATGCAGTTTTGGGCAAGAACCATTCATTTCTTTGCATGCTGTACAAATGTGTAATTTCTGCCTTTTGCAAAAAAAAAAAAAAAAAAAGGTATTTGCCAATTTATGCACACTGGGAGTTCTTAAACAACAGTTTCTTAAACATAATTCAATAATAATAATGATAATATATATATATATATACATATATATATATATATATATATATATATATATATATATATTATTAGGGCCCGAGCGTAGCTGCTAAGCAGCTGCGAGAGCCCTCTTGTTCCTGATGGATTCTTCTTTTGTTATTAGGGCCCGAGCGTAGCTGCTAAGCAGCTGCGAGAGCCCTCTTGTTCCTTCATAGGCGAAAAATCTTCTTTCTTCTTTAGGGCCCGAGCCAGCTGCAGAGCAGCCGGGCGTAGGCCCTGTTGTTCCTCAAGTGGTTTTTCTTTGTTTCTTTCTTTCTTTCTTTCTTTAGGGCCCGAGCGTAGCTGCTAAGCAGCTGCGAGAGCCCTCTTGTTCCTGCATGTTTCCTTCTTTTGTTATTAGGGCCCGAGCGTAGCTGCTAAGCAGCTGCGAGAGCCCTATTATTCCCCAAGTGGTTTTTCTTTGTTTCTTTTTTCTTTTTCCTCCCCTTTGAACTGGAAAATGGCCCACTTCCCACTGGCGAAAACTCATGAAATTTGGCAGGACGACCGGGCCTGGTGAAAAATTTGATATTCCGAAGTCGCCCAAACAAGAAAATGCAAAATGGCTCCATAGCGCCCCCTAAGGTGAAAATTCACACTATTGACTGTCACGCCTGTACGCTTTGTCAAAATGACACAAAAATTGACACACACATGTATCTCAATAAGATCTACAAAAAAGTCAGTGCGGGCGTATCTGTCAAATGTACGGTTAAAGGGTTATTTCGCATTTTTTGCCGATCCGCACACATTGGAATTTCGCTAACTCCTCCGAAGGCTTTCGTTCCACCGGCACCACATTTGCTCAGGCCAATCTACACCCCATGGCCATTACAAGTTATTCAAATCATGACGCTGCACCCCACAGTTTAGGTTCTAGGGGGCGCCAAAGATAACCCTAAAATCCACATATTTAAAAGTCTTATAACTTTTTATTTTTGCCCTCACTGGCCTCCAAGTTTTCTAGGATGATGCAATGTCCAGCCATCAACACATTTGTGAAGGAATTTTTACTCCCCAAAAGAGCGCCCCCCATGGCAGGAGAAAAAAGTCCATTTTTTCTTGTCCCCTAAGGTGAAAATACACATTGTTGAGTGTCACGCCTGTACGCTTTGTAAAAATGACACAAAAATTGACACACACATGTATCTCAATAAGATCTACAAAAAAGTCCATGCGCGCGTATCTGTCAAATGTACGGTTAAAGGGTTATTCCGCATTTTTTGCCGATTCGCACACATTGGAATTTCGCTAACTCCTCCGAAGGCTTTCGTTCCACCGGCACCACATTTGCTCAGGCCAATCTACACCCCATGGCCATTAAAAGTTATTCAAATCATGACGCTGCACCCCACGGTTTACGTTCTAGGGGGCGCCAAAGATAACCCAAAAATCCACATTTTTAAAAGTCTTATAACTTTTTATTTTTGTCCTCACTGGCCTCCAAGTTTTCTAGGATGATGCAATGTCCAGCCATCAACACATTTGTGAAGGAATTTTTACTCCCTAAAAGAGCGCCCCCCATGGCAGGAGAAAAAAGTCCATTTTTTCTTGTCCCCTAAGGTGAAAATACACATTGTTGACTGTCACGCCTGTACGCTTTGGCAAAATGACACAAAAATTGACAATCATGTGTATCTCAATTAGATCTACGAAAAAGTCAAAGAGCGCGTATCTGTATAATGTACGGTAAAAGGGCTATTTTGCATTTTTTGCCGATTCGCACACATTGGAATTTCGCTAACTCCTCCTAAGGCTTTCGTCCCACTGACACCAAATTTGCTCAGGCCAATCTACACTCCATGGCCATTCAAAGTTGTAAAAATCATGACGCTGCACCCCACGGTTTACGTTTTAGGGGGCGCCAAAGATGACCCCAATATACATTACAGTAGACAAAGTAGTTTTGCCCACTGAGTGGCGCCAAAGGGACTTGTCTGTGGAGTCTGTGAGTCACTATTGGCCGTTTTTGACTACTTTAGATTTTACCTTTATATTTCCTCTTACAAAATTTTTACCTTGCCTTGCCTGGTATCATTTTTTTCAGCACAACCTCACCTGTGTCAATTTACAGTTATTTTATCATTTTGACATACTATATTTACACATTGGACCCAAATTCACACACAAAACATAAAATCCGAGTGGAAAAAAGTAACGTTTTTACTGTGAAAACCACAAATATGTGTGATGAACTGTTTTTAAAACTTAAACTTCAAATAAAAATTGTAAACTTCAAAACATATGCAAATTTTTAACAAAGAACATAGTAATTTACCTCTATTGACATCAAAATGCAGGCAATGGCCCAGGTGTTCTTTGTAAAATTATTTACAAAACACTGTATAGTCTCACAAATGTCACTTTTCATTATGCCACTACAAAAAAACATGATGTAAATGATGCATGATGTAAAACATGATGTAAAAAACTTGTGTAGATCCTCCTCTATGTTAGTCCATGTGTAATTTTTCCATAATTCTTTGTTTTTTGCAGCATTTTTGTTAGTGTAACTGCAGATTGTGCTGACAGTGTCTATGGCAAAAAAAAAAAAAAAAACTGAAAATGCCTCAACATGAACCCCTGGTGGTCTCTGAGGGTGAAACCTGCTAACTGCTGCAGCTCTGTCAGCTTCAGTCTCCCATGCAGAGCTCGGAGCGCATGTGTGGCTCTGCACCCTTAGCAGCGTTGCTAACTCCTCAGTAAGGAAAGCCTGCTTCATGTCAGAGTCTCTAAACTCCAGAAGAAGTCGATAAAAGTCACTTTCTTTCTAAAAAAAAAGTCGTTAGGGGGTCTGAAAAGTCATTGAATCTAACAAAAAAGTCGCTAGGTTTGCAACTACGTGTCCCAGACTGCATCCCTGCTGAGAGTCCCTCCCTCCCTTCTCATATTGCAGGAAGAACGTAAGCGCCCGCCCCTTGTCAATCAGTCACCATATAATTAGGGCCCGAGCGTAGCTGCTAAGCAGCTGCGAGAGCCCTCTTGTTCCTGATGGATTCTTCTTTCGTTATTTTTCCTCCGCTTTAAACTGGAAAATGGCCCACTTCCCACTGGCGAAAACTCAGGAAATTTGGCAGGACGACCGGGCCTGGTGAAAAATTTGATATTCTGAAGTCGCCCAAACAAAAAAATGAAAAATGGCTCCATAGCGCCCCCTATGGTGAAAATTCACCTGACGCCTGTACGCTTTGTCAAAATGACACAAAATTTGACACACATGTGTATCTCAATAAGACCTACAAAAAAGTCAGTGCGGGCGTATCTGTCAAATGTACGGTTAAAGGGCTATTTCGCATTTTTTGCCGATCCGCACACATTGGAATTTCGCTAACTCCTCCGAAGGCTTTCGTTCCACCGGCACCAAATTTGCTCAGGCCAATCTACACCCCATGGCCATTAAAAGTTGTACAAATCATGACGCTGCACCCCACGGTTTACGTTCTAGGGGGCGCCAAAGATAACCCAAAAATCCACATTCTTAAAAGTCTTATAACTTTTTATTTTTGTCCTCACTGGCCTCCAAGTTTTCTAGGATGATGCAATGTCCAGCCATCAACACATTTGTGAAGGAATTTTTACTCCCCAAAAGAGCGCCCCCCCATGGCAGGTGAAAAAAGTCCATTTTTTCTTGTCCCCTAACATGAAAATACACATTGTTGAGTGTCACGCCTATAAGCTTTGTCATATTGACCCAAAATTTGACAATCACGTGAATCTCAATAAGATCTACGAAAAAGTCAATGGGCACGTATCTGTAAAATGTACGGTTAAAGGGTTATTTCGCATTTTTTCCCGATCCGCACACATTGGAATTTCGCTAACTCCTCCGAAGGCTTTAGTTCCACCGCCACCAAATTTACTCAGGCCAATCTACACCCCATGGCCATTAAAAGTTGTACAAATCATGACGCTGCACTCCACGGTTTAGGTTCTAGGGGGCGCCAAAGATAACCCAAAAATCCACATTCTTAATAGTCTTATAACTTTTTATTTTTGTCCTCACTGGCCTCCAAGTTTTCTAGGATGATGCAATGTCCAGCCATCAACACATTTGTAAAGGAATTTTTACTCCCGAAAAGAGCGCCCCCCCATGGCAGGAGAAAAAAGTCCATTTTTTCTTGTCCCCTAAGGTGAAAAAACACATTGTTGACTGTCACGCCTATACGCTTTGTCAAAATGACACAAAATTTGACAATCACGTGTATCTCAATAAGATCTACGAAAAAGTCAATGGGCACGTATCTGTAAAATGTACGGTTAGAGGGTTATTTCGCATTTTTTGCAGATCCGCACACATTGGAATGTGGCTAACTCCTCCTAAGGCTTTCGTCCCACCGACACCAAATTTGCTCAAGCCGATCTACATCCCATGGCCATTCAAAGTTGTAAAAATCATGACGCTGCACCCCACGGTTTACGTTCTAGGGGGCGCCAAAGATGACCCAAATATCCACATTCTTAAAAGAATCCCCCCCCCCCCCCCCCAAGGCAGGAGAAAAAGTCAAGTTAACCCTGCCCATCGCTCAATGGCTCAATCGCATCGCTCTCCCGGCAACACCGTAACGAGGAGCAACTTGCCATTTGGATATATCCTAGCTGTGTTTGTGCCCTCACTCATGGATCAGACTTTTTTCAAATAGGACATGTAGTTTGTCTGCAGCGACCGTTTTGGTAGAAACTGTGCCTCCCATTCATTATAATGGGAAATGACCACAGACAAGTGCGCACACCATCTTCGGACCTTGAGTGTGACGCGATCGGGAGGAGGAGGCGGTCGCGCTGGGGGCGGCGCGACGCGGCGCGACGCGGCTCGGGCCCGACAGTGCCCCACCGGGGCCCTAGTTTTGGATTGGTTGTTGTGGTGAAGTTTTCCACCAATAGGAGAGATGTTGTGGTGTGTTTTTTTTTCCTTTGGCAAGCCTTTTCCGCCTGTAAGACCTGTCGCTAATGTCTGCATGCTATGTTTTCCTGTCTCATACAGCGCGATCGAGCGCCGAACGTGATCAAAATAAGCAGAAAAAAAGTATCGCGGACATAATTTATCATAACTCTGGTTTTATTTGGCCTATCAACACAATTTAAAAACTGGTATATAGGTTGAGGTCCTCACTTTTGAGATAAGTTGAAACGGAGTCAACGAGGCTCCGTCTTGCAGCTACATCCGGTTAAATATGTCATGTGACTTGAACGCACACACACACACACACACACACACACAGACACACGCACACACACACACTCAGAGTCTGGTTTTTAGCACCTGCAAAAACATGCTATTTACATATTTGACAAGAATGCAGAGGCTCCTTTTGCCCCTGAAAAAAATCACATTTCAAACACAACTTGACTGGTCATTTCTCCAAAAGACAACCATGAAGCTCCATCCAAACCTGAAGCAGGCAGTTGGTGCATGTGTACAGTAACCTGAGGGGAGTGAGGTGAGTGCTTCTGAGGAGAACATGAGCAGTGAAGATTCACCTTACAGCTAGAACAGAGACGTGCACATGATTATACAGGGGCAGGGGCTCAAGTTTTTTCCAGTTGTTTATACAATATGGAAATTAATGTGAAATTAAAAAACAAAGTATTAATAGAAAGGTAATGACTGTCCTGAGTAGGTGACAGTGATATCCAATAGGCTAGGCACTCAAGAGGCTGGCTGTGGCAAGTGTAAGTGAAAGCAACACGCACTGGCAGGAAGAACAGCAAACGCCGATGAAGGAAAAGGGTCTTTGCAGTGATGGGCGTTACCAGAGAGGGCGATGGCCAGAGGACACAAATGGGACGGGGAGGCAGCGCGTTGGGGGGGGGGACGCGACACAGCTCGGGCCCGCCAGTGCCCCAACGGGGTCCTAGTTATTATTATTAGGGCCCGAGCGTAGCTGCTAAGCAGCTGCGAGAGCCCTATTATTCCCCAAGAGGTTTTTCTTTGTTTCTTTCTTTCTTCTTTTTCCTCCCCTTTGAACTGGAAAATGGCCCACTTCCCACTGGCGAAAACTCATGAAATTTGGCAGGATGACCGGGCCTGGTGAAAAATTTGATATTCCGAAGTCGCCCAAACAAGAAAATGCAAAATGGCTCCATAGCGCCCCCTAAGGTGAAAATTCACACTATTGACTGTCACGCCTTTACGCTTTGTCAAAATGACACAAAAATTGACACACATATGTATCTCGATAAGATCTACAAAAAAGTCAGTGCGGGCGTATCTGTCAAATGTACGGTTAAAGGGTTATTCCGCATTTTTTGCCGATCCGCACACATTGGAATTTCGCTAACTCCTCCGAAGGCTTTCTTTCCACCGGCACCACATTTGCTCAGGCCAATCTACACCCCATGGCCATTAAAAGTTATTCAAATCATGACGCTGCACCCCACGGTTTAGGTTCTAGGGGGCGCCAAAGATAACCCTAAAATCCACATATTTAAAAGTCTTATAACTTTTTATTTTTGTCCTCACTGGCCTCCAAGTTTTCTAGGATGATGCAATGTCCAGCCATCAACACATTTGTGAAGGAATTTTTACTCCCCAAAAGAGCGCCCCCCCATGGCAGGAGAAAAAAGTCCATTTTTTCTTGTCCCCTAAGGTGAAAATACACATTGTTGAGATTCACGCCTATACGCTTTGTCAAAATGACACAAAAATTGACACACACATGTAACTCAATAAGATCTACGAAAAAGTCAATGCGCGCGTATCTGTCAAATGTACGGTTAAAGGGTTATTCGGCATTTTTTGCCGATCCGCACACATTGGAATGTGGCTAACTCCTCCTAAGGCTTTCGTTCCACCGGCACCACATTTGCTCAGGACAATCTACACCCCATGGCCATTAAAAGTTATTCAAATCATGATGCTGCACCCCACGGTTTAGGTTCTAGGGGGCGCCAAAGATAACCCTAAAATCCACATATTTAAAAGTCTTATAACTTTTTATTTTTGTCCTCACTGGCCTCCAAGTTTTCTAGGATGATGCAATGTCCAGCCATCAACACATTTGTGAAGGAATTTTTACTCCCCAAAAGAGCGCCCCCCCATGGCAGGAGAAAAAAGTCCATTTTTTCTTGTCCCCTAAGGTGAAAATACATATTGTTGAGATTCACGCCTATACGCTTTGTCATATTGACACAAAATTTGACAATCACGTGCCTTGCCTGGTATCATTTTTTTCAGCACAACCTCACCTGTGCGAATTTACAGTTATTTTATCATGTTGACATACTGAATTTACACAATGGACCCAAATTCACACACAAAACATAAAATCCGAGTGGAAAAAAGTAACATTTTTTCTGTGAAAACCACAAATATGTGTGATGAACTGTTTTTAAAACTTAAACTTCAAATAAAAATTGTAAACTTCAAAACATATGCAAATTTTTAACAAAGAACATAGTGATTTACCTCTATTTTCATCAAAATGCAGGCAATGGCCCAGGCGTTCTTTGTAAAATTATTTACAAAACACTGTATAGTCTCACAAATGTCACTTTTTATTTATGCCACTACAAAAAAACATGATGTAAATGATGCATGATGTAAAACATGATGTAAAAAACTTGTGTAGATCCTCCTCTATGTCAGTCCATGTGTAATTTTTCCATAATTCTTTGTTTTTTGCAGCATTTTTGTTAGTGTAACTGCAGATTGTGCTGACAGTGTCTATGGCACAAAAAAAAAAAAAAATTAAAATGCCTCAACATGAACCCCTGGTGGTCTCTGAGGGTGAAACCTGCTAACTGCTGCAGCTCTGTCAGCTTCAGTCTCCCATGCAGAGCTCTGAGCGCATGTGTGGCTCTGCACCCTTAGCAGCGTTGCTAACTCCTCAGTAAGGAAAGCCTGCTTCATGTCAGAGTCTCTAAACTCCAGAAGAAGTCGATAAAAGTCCCTTTCTTTCTAAAAAAAGTCGTTAGGGGGTCTGAAAAGTCATTGAATCTAACAACAAAGTCGCTAGGTTTGCAACTACGTGTCCCAGACTGCATCCCTGCTGAGAGTCCCTCCCTCCCTTCTCATGTTGCAGGAAGAACGTAAGCACCCGCCCCTTGTCAATCAGTCACCATATAATTTTGGATTGGTTGTTGTGGTGAAGTTTTCCACCAATAGGAGAGATGTTGTGGTGTGTTTTTTTTTTTCTTTTGGCAAGCCTTTTCCGCCTGTAAGACCTGTCGCTAATGTCTGCATGCTATGTTTTCCTGTCTCATACAGCGCGATCGAGCGCCGAACGTGATCAAAATAAGCAGAAAAAAAGTATCGCGGACATAATTTATCATAACTCTGGTTTTATTTGGCCTATCAACACAATTTAAAAACTGGTATATAGGTTGAGGTCCTCACTTTTGAGATAAGTTGAAACGGAGAGTCAACGAGGCTCCGTCTTGCAGCTACATCCGGTTAAATATGTCATGTGACTTGAACGCACACACACACACGCACACACACACACACACACACACACACACACACACACACACACACACACACACACACTCAGAGTCTGGTTTTTAGCACCTGCAAAAACATGCTATTTACATATTTGACAAGAATGCAGAGGCTCCTTTTGCCCCTGAAAAAAATCAAATTTCAAACACAACTTGACTGGTCATTTCTCCAAAAGACAACCATGAAGCTCCATCCAAACCTGAAGCAGGCAGTTGGTGCATGTGTACAGTAACCTGAGGGGAGTGAGGTGAGTGCTTCTGAGGAGAACATGAGCAGTGAAGATTCACCTTGGAGCTAGAACAGAGACATGCACATGATTATACAGGGGCAGGGGCTCAAGTTTTTTCCAGTCGTTTATACAATATGGAAATTAATGTGAAATTAAAACACAAAGTATTAATAGAAAGGTAATGACTGTCCTGTGTAGGTGACAGTGATATCGAATAGGCTAGGCACTCACGAGGCTGGCTGTGGCAAGTGTAAGTGAAAGCAACACGCACTGGCAGGAAGAACAGCAAACGCCGATGAAGGAAAAGGGTCTTTGCAGTGATGGGCGTTACCAGAGAGGGCGATGGCCAGAGGACACAAATGGGACGGGAAGGCAGCACGTTGGGGGGGGGGGACGCGATATGGCTCGGGCCCGCCAGTGCCCCAACGGGGTCCTAGTTATTATTTTTCCTCCCCTTTGAACTGGAAAATGGCCCACTTCCCACTGGCGAAAACTCATGAAATTTGGCAGGACGACCGGGCCTGGTAAAAAATTTGATATTCCGAAGTCGCCCAAACAAGAAAATGCAAAATGGCTCCATAGCGCCCCCTAAGGTGAAAATTCACACTATTGACTGTCACGCCTGTAAGCTTTGTCAAAATGACACAAAAATTGACACACACATGTATCTCAATAAGATCTACAAAAAAGTCAGTGCGGGCGTATCTGTCAAATGTACGGTTAAAGGGTTATTTCGCATTTTTTGCCGATCCGCACACATTGGAATTTCGCTAACTCCTCCGAAGGCTTTCGTTCCACCGGCACCACATTTGCTCAGGCCAATCTACACCCCATGGCCATTAAAAGTTATTCAAATCATGACGCTGCACCCCACGGTTTAGGTTCTAGGGGGCGCCAAAGATAACCGTAAAATCCACATATTTAAAAGTCTTATAACTTTTTATTTTTGTCCCCACTGGCCTCCAAGTTTTCTAGGATGATGCAATGTCCAGCCATCAACACATTTGTGAAGGAATTTTTACTCGCCAAAAGAGCGCCCCCCCATGGCAGGAGAAAAAAGTCCATTTTTTCTTGTCCACTAAGGTGAAAATACACATTGTTGAGTGCTACGCCTGAAAGTTTTGTCGTATTGACACAAAATTTTACATACACGTGTATTTCAATAAGATCTTCGAAAAAGTCAATGGCCACGTATCTGTAAAATGTACGGTTAAAGGGTTATTTCGCATTTTTTGCAGATTCGCACACATTGGAATTTCGCTAAATCCTCCGAAGGCTTTCGTTCCACCGGCACCACATTTGCTCAGGCCAATCTACACCCCATGGCCATTAAAAGTTATTCAAATCATGACGCTGCACCCCACGGTTTAGGTTCTAGGGGGCGCCAAAGATAACCCTAAAATCCACATATTTAAAAGTCTTATAACTTTTTATTTTTGTCCTCACTGGCCTCCATGTTTTCTAGGATGATGCAATGTCCAGCCATTAACACATTTGTGAAGGAGTTTTTTCTCGTTAAAAGAGCACCCCCCCATGGCAGGAGAATAAAGTCAAGTTTTTCCTGTTCATCATTCAATGGCTCAAACGCACTGCTCTCTCGGCAAAAGCGAAAGGAGGAGCAACTTGCCATTTGGATATATCTTAGCTGTGTTTGTGCCCTCACTCATGGTCCAGACTTTTTTCAAATAGGACATGGAGTTTTTCTGCAGCGAGCGTTTTGGTAGAAACTGCGCCTCCCGTTCATTATAATGGTAAATGACCACAAACAAGTGCGCACACCATCTTTGGACCTTGAGTGTGACGCGATCGGGTGGGGGAGGCGGTCGCGCTGAGGGCGGCGTGACATGGCTCGGGCCCGCCAGTGCCCCAACGGGGCCCTAGTTCTTCTTTTTCCTCCCCTTTGAACTGGAAAATGGCCCACTTCCCACTGGCGAAAACTCATGAAATTTGGCAGGACGACCGGGCCTGGTGAAAAATTTGATATTCTGAAGTCGCCCAAACAATAAAATGCAAAATGGCTCCATAGCGCCCCCTAAGATTAAAATTATCACTATTGACTGTCACGGCTGTATGCTTTGTCATATTGACACAAAAATTGACACACACCTGTATCTCAATAAGATCTACAAAAAAGTCAGTGCGGGCGTATCTGTCAAATTTACGGTTAAAGGGTTATTTCGCATTTTTTGCCGATCCACACACATCGGAATTTCGCTAACTCCTCTAAAGACTATCGTTCCACCGGCACCACATTTGCTCAGGCCAATCTACACCCCGTGGCCATTAAAAGTTATTCAAATCATGACGCTGCACCCCACGGTTTAGGTTCTAGGGGGCGCCAAAGATAACCCTAAAATCCACATATTTCAAAGTCTTATAACTTTTTATTTTTGTCCTCACTGGCCTCCAAGTTTTCTAGGATGATGCAATGTCCAGCCATCAACACATTTGTGAAGGAATTTTTACTCCCCAAAAGAGCGCCCCCCCCATGGCAGGAGAAAAAAGTCCATTTTTTCTTGTCCCCTAAGGTGAAAATTCACACTATTGACTGTCACGCCTGTACGCTTTGTCATATTGACACAAAAATTGACACACACGTGTATCTCAATAAGATCTACGAAAAAGTCAATGCGCACGTATCTGTCAAATGTACGGTTAAAGGGTTATTTCGCATTTTTTGCAGATCCGCACACATTGGAATTTCGCTAACTCCTCCGAAGGCTTTCGTTCCACCGGCACCACATTTGCTCAGGCCAATCTACACCCCATGGCCATTAAAAGTTATTCAAATCATGATGCTGCACCCCACGGTTTAGGTTCTAGGGGGCGCCAAATATAACCCTAAAATCCACATATTTAAAAGTCTTATAACTTTTTATTTTTGTCCTCACTGGCCTCCAAGTTCTCTAGGATGATGCAATGTCCAGCCATCAACACATTTGTGAAGGAATTTTTACTCCCCAAAAGAGCGCCCCCCCATGGCAGGAGAAAAAAGTCCATTTTTTCTTGTCCCCTAAGGTGAAAATACATATTGTTGAGTGTCACGCCTGTACGCTTTGTCATATTGACACAAAATTTGACAATCACGTGTGTCTCAATAACATCTACGAAAAAGTCAATGCACGCATATCTGTAAAATGTACGGTTAAAGGGCTATTTTGCATTTTTTGCCGATTCGCACACATTGGAATGTGGCTAACTCCTCCTAAGGCTTTCGTCCCACTGACACCAAATTTGCTCAGGCCAATCTACACCCCATGGCCATTCAAAGTTGTAAAAATCATGACGCTGCACCCCACGGTTTACGTTCTAGGGGGCGCCAAAGATGACCCAAATATCCACATTCTTAAAAGAATCCACCCCCCCCCCCCCCATTCCCCATCCCCCATGGCAGGAGAAACAGTCAAGTTTTTCCTGCCCATCACTCAATGGCTCAATCACATCGCTCTCCCGGCAACACCGTAACGAGGAGCAACTTGCCGTTTGGATATATCCTAGCTGTGTTTGTGCCCTCACTCATGGTCCAGACTTTTTTCAAATAGGACATGTAGTTTGTCTGCAGCGAGTGTTTTGGTAGAAACTGCGCCTCCCATTCATTATAATGGGAAATGACCACAGACAAGTGCGCACACCATCTTTGGACCTTGAGTGTGACGCGATCGGGGGGGAGGCGGTCGCGCTGGGGGCGGCGCGACGCGGCTCGGGCCCGACAGTGCCCCACCGGGGCCCTAGTTAGGGCCCGAGCGTAGCTGCTAAGCAGCTGCGAGAGCCCTATTATTCCCCAAGTGGTTTTTCTTTGTTTCTTTAGGGCCCGAGCGTAGCTGCTAAGCAGCTGCGAGAGCCCTCTTGTTCCTGTAGTTTCCTTCTTTTGTTATTATTATTATTATTATTTTTCCTCCCCTTTGAACTGGAAAATGGCCCACTTCCCACTGGCGAAAACTCATGAAATTTGGCAGGACGACCGGGCCTGGTGAAAAATTTGATATTCCGAAGTCGCCCAAACAAGAAAATGCAAAATGGCTCCATAGCGCCCCCTAAGGTGAAAATTCACACTATTCACTGTCACGCCGGTACGCTTTGTCAAAATGACACAAAAATTGACACACACATGTATCTCAATAAGATCTACAAAAAAGTCAGTGCGGGCGTATCTGTCAAATGTACGGTTAAAGGGTTATTTCGCATTTTTTGCCGATCCGCACACATTGGAATTTCGCTAACTCCTCCGAAGGCTTTCGTTCCACCGGCACCACATTTGCTCAGGCCAATCTACACCCCATGGCCATTAAAAGTTATTCAAATCATGACGCTGCACCCCACGGTTTAGGTTCTAGGGGGCGCCAAAGATAACCCTAAGATCCACATATTTAAAAGTCTTATAACTTTTTATTTTTGCCCTCACTGGCCTCCAAGTTTTCTAGGATGATGCAATGTCCAGCCATCAACACATTTGTGAAGGAATTTTTACTCCCCAAAAGAGCGCCCCCCCATGGCAGGAGAAAAAAGTCCATTTTTTCTTGTCCCCTAAGGTGAAAATACACATTGTTGAGTGTAACACCTGTACGCTTTGGCAAAATGACACAAAAATTGACACACACATGTATCTCAATAAGATCTACGAAAAAGTCAATGCGCGCGTATCTGTCAAATGTACGGTTAAAGGGTTATTCTGCATTTTTTGCCGATCCGCACACATTGGAATGTGGCTAACTCCTCCTAAGGCTTTCGTTCCACCGGCACCACATTTGCTCAGGCCAATCTACACCCCATGGCCATTAAAAGTTATTCAAATCATGATGCTGCACCCCACGGTTTAGGTTCTAGGGGGCGCCAAAGATAACCCTAAAATCCACATATTTCAAAGTCTTATAACTTTTTATTTTTGTCCTCACTGGCCTCCAAGTTTTCTAGGATGATGCAATGTCCAGCCATCAACACATTTGTGAAGGAATTTTTACTCCCCAAAAGAGCGCCCCCCCATGGCAGGAGAAAAAAGTCCATTTTTTCTTGTCCCCTAAGGTGAAAATACACATTGTAGAGTGCCACGCCTGTACGCTTTGTCAAAATGACACAAAATTTGACATACACGTGTATTTCAATAAGATCTTCGAAAAAGTCAATGGCCACGTATCTGTAAAATGTACGGTTAAAGGGTTATTCCGCATTTTTTTCCGATCCGCACACATTGGAATTTCGCTAACTCCTCCGAAGGCTTTCGTTCCACCGGCACCACATTTGCTCAGGCCAATCTACACCCCATGGCCATTAAAAGTTATTCAAATCATGACGCTGCACCCCACGGTTTACGTTCTAGGGGGCGCCAAAGATAACCCTAAAATCCACTTATTTAAAAGTCTTATAACTTTTTATTTTTGTCCTCACTGGCCTCCAAGTTCTCTAGGATGATGCAATGTCCAGCCATCAACACATTTGTGAAGGAATTTTTACTCCCCAAAAGAGCGCCCCCCCATGGCAGGAGATAAAACTCCATTTTTTCTTGTCCCATAAGGTGAAAATACACATTGTTGACTGTCATACCTGTACGCTTTGTCATATTGACACAAAATTTGACAATCACATGTATCTCAATAAGATCTACGAAAAAGTCAATGCGCGCGTATCTGTAAAATGTACGGTTAAAGGGCTATTTTGCATTTTTGCCGATTCGCACACATTGGAATGTGGCTAACTCCTCCTAAGGCTTTCGTCCCACTGACACCAAATTTGCTCAGGCCAATCTACATCCCATGGCCATTCAAAGTTGTAAAAATCATGACGCTGCACCCCACGGTTTACGTTCTAGGGGGCGCCAAAGATGACCCAAATATCCACATTCTTAAAAGAATCCCCCCCCCCCCCATCCCCCATCCCCCATCCCCCATGGCAGGAGAAACAGTCAAGTTTTTCCTGCCCATCCCTCAATGGCTCAATCGCATCGCTCTCCTGGCAACACCGTAACGAGGAGCAACTTGCCGTTTGGATATATCCTAGCTGTGTTTGTGGACCCACTCATGGTCCAGACTTTCTTCAAATAGGACATGTAGTTTGTCTGCAGCGAGTGTTTGGTAGAAACTGCGCCTCCCATTCATTATAATGGGAAATGACCACAGACAAGTGCGCACACCATCTTTGGACCTTGAGTGTGACGCGATCGGGAGGGGGGGGCGGTCGCGCCGGGGGCGGCGCAACGCGGCTCGGGCCCGACAGTGCCCCACCGGGGCCCTAGTTAGGGCCCGAGCGTAGCTGCTAAGCAGCTGCGAGAGCCCTCTTGTTCCTGTAGTTTCCTTCTTTTGTTATTATTATTTTTCCTCCCCTTTGAACTGGAAAATGGCCCACTTCCCACTGGCGAAAACTCATGAAATTTGGCAGGACGACCGGGCCTGGTGAAAAATTTGATATTCTGAAGTCGCCCAAACAAGAAAATGCAAAATGGCTCCATAGCGCCCCCTAAGGTGAAAATTCACACTATTGACTGTCACGCCTGTACGCTTTGTCAAAATGACACAAAAATTGACACACACATGTATCTCAATAAGATCTACAAAAAAGTCAGTGCGGGCGTATCTGTCAAATGTACGGTTAAAGGGTTATTTCGCATTTTTTGCCGATCCGCACACATTGGAATTTCGCTAACTCCTCCGAAGGCTTTCGTTCCACCGGCACCACATTTGCTCAGGCCAATCTACACCCCATGGCCATTAAAAGTTATTCAAATCATGACGCTGCACCCCACGGTTTAGGTTCTAGGGGGCGCCAAAGACAACCCTAAAATCCACATATTTAAAAGTCTTATAACTTTTTATTTTTGCCCTCACAGGCCTCCAAGTTTTCTAGGATGATGCAATGTCCAGCCATCAACACATTTGTGAAGGAATTTTTACTCCCCAAAAGAGCGCCCCCCCATGGCAGGAGAAAAAAGTCAATTTTTTCTTGTCCCCTAAGGTGAAAATTCACACTATTGACTGTCACGCCTGTACGCTTTGTCAAAATGACACAAAAATTGACACACACATGTATCTCAATAAGATCTACAAAAAAGTCCATGCGCGCGTATCTGTCTAATGTACGGTTAAAGGGTTATTTCGCATTTTTTGCCGATCCGCACACATTGGAATTTCGCTAACTCCTCCGAAGGCTTTCGTTCCACCGGCACCACATTTGCTCAGGCCAATCTACACCCCATGGCCATTAAAAGTTATTCAAATCATGACGCTGCACCCCACGGTTTACGTTCTAGGGGGCGCCAAAGATAACCCAAAAATCCACATTTTTAAAAGTCATAACTTTTTATTTTTGTCCTCACTGGCCTCCAAGTTTTCTAGGATGATGCAATGTCCAGCCATCAACACATTTGTGAAGGAATTTTTACTCCCTAAAAGAGCGCCCCCCCATGGCAGGAGAAAAAAGTCCATTTTTTCTTGTCCCCTAAGGTGAAAATACACATTGTTGACTGTCACGCCTGTACGCTTTGGCAAAATGACACAAAAATTGACAATCATGTGTATCTCAATTAGATCTACGAAAAAGTCAAAGAGCGCGTATCTGTATAATGTACGGTAAAAGGGCTATTTTGCATTTTTTGCCGATTCGCACACATTGGAATTTCACTAACTCCTCCTAAGGCTTTCGTCCCACTGACACCAAATTTGCTCAGGCCAATCTACACTCCATGGCCATTCAAAGTTGTAAAAATCATGACGCTGCACCCCACGGTTTACGTTTTAGGGGGCGCCAAAGATGACCCAAATATACATTACAGTAGACAAAGTAGTTTTGCCCACTGAGTGGCGCCAAAGGGACTTGTCTGTGGAGTCTGTGAGTCACTATTGGCCGTTTTTGACTACTTTAGATTTTACCTTTATATTTCCTCTTACAAAATTTTTACCTTGCCTTGCCTGGTATCATTTTTTTCAGCACAACCTCACCTGTGTCAATTTACAGTTATTTTATCATTTTGACATACTATATTTACACATTGGACCCAAATTCACACACAAAACATAAAATCCGAGTGGAAAAAAGTAACGTTTTTACTGTGAAAACCACAAATATGTGTGATGAACTGTTTTTAAAACTTAAACTTCAAATAAAAATTGTAAACTTCAAAACATATGCAAATTTTTAACAAAGAACATAGTAATTTACCTCTATTTACATCAAAATGCAGGCAATGGCCCAGGTGTTCTTTGTAAAATTATTTACAAAACACTGTATAGTCTCACAAATGTCACTTTTTATTTATGCCACTACAAAAAAACATGATGTAAATGATGCATGATGTAAAACATGATGTAAAAAACTTGTGTAGATCCTCCTCTATGTTAGTCCACGTGTAATTTTTCCATAATTCTTTGTTTTTTGCAGCATTTTTGTTAGTGTAACTGCAGATTGTGCTGACAGTGTCTATGGCAAAAAAAAAAAAAAAAAAACTGAAAATGCCTCAACATGAACCCCTGGTGGTCTCTGAGGGTGAAACCTGCTAACTGCTGCAGCTCTGTCAGCTTCAGTCTCCCATGCAGAGCTCGGAGCGCATGTGTGGCTCTGCACCCTTAGCAGCGTTGCTAACTCCTCAGTAAGGAAAGCCTGCTTCATGTCAGAGTCTCTAAACTCCAGAAGAAGTCGATAAAAGTCACTTTCTTTCTAAAAAAAAGTCGTTAGGGGGTCTGAAAAGTCATTGAATCTAACAACAAAGTCGCTAGGTTTGCAACTACGTGTCCCAGACTGCATCCCTGCTGAGAGTCCCTCCCTCCCTTCTCATATTGCAGGAAGAACGTAAGTTCCCGCCCCTTGTCAATCAGTCACCATATAATTTTGGATTGGTTGTTGTGGTGAAGTTTTCCACCAATAGGAGAGATGTTGTGGTGTGTATTTTTTTTCCTTTGGCAAGCCTTTTCCGCCTGTAAGACCTGTCGCTAATGTCTGCATGCTATGTTTTCCTGTCTCATACAGCGCGATCGAGCGCCGAACGTGATCAAAATAAGCAGAAAACAAGTATCGCTGACATAATTTATCATAACTCTGGTTTTATTTGGCCTATCAACACAATTTAAAAACTGGTATATAGGTTGAGGTCCTCACTTTTGAGATAAATTGAAACGGAGAGTCAATGAGGCTCCGTCTTGCAGCTACATCCGGTTAAATATGTCATGTGACTTGAACGCACACACACACACACACACAGACACACACACACACGCACACACACACACTCAGAGTCTGGTTTGTAGCACCTGCAAAAACATGCTATTTACATATTTGACAAGAATGCAGAGGCTCCTTTTGCCCCTGAAAAAAATCAAATTTCAAACACAACTTGACTGGTCATTTCTCCAAAAGACAACCATGAAGCTCCATCCAAACCTGAAGCAGGCAGTTGGTGCATGTGTACAGTAACCTGAGGGGAGTGAGGTGACTGCTTCTGAGGAGAACATGAGCAGTGAAGATTTACCTTAGAGCTAGAACAGAGACGTGCACATGATTATACAGGGGCAGGGGCTCAAGTTTTTTCCAGTCGTTTATACAATTTGGAAATTAATGTGAAATTAAAACACAAAGTATTAATAGAAAGGTAATGACTGTCCTGTGTAGGTGACAGTGATATCCAATAGGCTAGGCACTCACGAGGCTGGCTGTGGCAAGTGTAAGTGAAAGCAACACGCACTGGCAGGAAGAACAGCAAACGCCGATGAAGGAAAAGGGTCTTTGCAGTGATGGGCGTTACCAAAGAGGGCGATGGCCAGAGGACACAAATGGGACGGGGAGGCAGCGCGTTAGGGGGGGGACACGACACAGCTCGGGCCCGCCAGTGCCCCAACGGGGTCCTAGTTCTTTCTTTCTTTCTTCTTTTTCCTCCTCTTTGAACTGGAAAATGGCCCACTTCCCACTGGCGAAAACTCATGAAATTTGGCAGGATGACCGGGCCTGGTGAAAAATTTGATATTCCGAAGTCGCCTAAACAAGAAAATGCAAAATGGCTCCATAGCGCCCCCTAAGGTGAAAATTCACACTATTGACTGTCACGCCTTTACGCTTTGTCAAAATGACACAAAAATTGACACACACATGTATCTCAAGAAGATCTACAAAAAAGTCAGTGCGGGCGTATCTGTCAAATGTACGGTTAAAGGGTTATTCCGCATTTTTTGCCGATCCGCACACATTGGAATTTCGCTAACTCCTCCGAAGGCTTTCGTTCCACCGGCACCACATTTGCTCAGGCCAATCTACACCCCATGGCCATTAAAAGTTATTCAAATCATGACGCTGCACCCCACGGTTTAGGTTCTAGGGGGCGCCAAAGATAACCCTAAATTCCACATATTTCAAAGTCTTATAACTTTTTATTTTTGCCCTCACTGGCCTCCAAGTTTTCTAGGATGATGCAATGTCCAGCCATCAACACATTTGTGAAGGAATTTTTACTCCCCAAAAGAGCGCCCCCCCATGGCAGGAGAAAAAAGTCCATTTTTTCTTGTCCCCTAAGGTGAAAATACACATTGTTGAGTGTCACGCCTGTACGCTTTGTCATATTGACACAAAATTTGACACACACATGTATCTCAATAAGATCTACGAAAAAGTCAGTGCGGGCGTATCTGTCAAATGTACGGTTAAAGGGTTATTCCGCATTTTTTGCCGATCCGCACACATTGGAATTTCGCTAACTCCTCCGAAGGCTTTCGTTCCACCGGCACCACATTTGCTCAGGCCAATCTACACCCCATGGCCATTAAAAGTTATTCAAATCATGACGCTGCACCCCACGGTTTAGGTTCTAGGGGGCGCCAAAGATAACCCTAAAATCCACATATTTCAAAGTCTTATAACTTTTTATTTTTGTCCTCACTGGCCTCCAAGTTTTCTAGGATGATGCAATGTCCAGCCATCAACACATTTGTGAAGGAATTTTTACTCCCCAAAAGAGCGCCCCCCCATGGCAGGAGAAAAAAGTCCATTTTTTCTTGTCCCCTAAGGTGAAAATACACATTGTTGAGTGTCACGCCTGTACGCTTTGTCATATTGACACAAAATTTGACAATCACGTGTATCTCAATAAGATCTACGAAAAAGTCAATAGGTGCGTATCTGTCAAATGTACGGTTAGAGGGCTATTTTGCATTTTTTGCCGATTCGCACACATTGGAATGTGGCTAACTCCTCCTAAGGCTTTCGTCCCACTGAAACCAAATTTGCTCAGGCCAATCTACACCCCATGGCCATTCAAAGTTGTAAAAATCATGACACTGCACCCCACGGTTTACGTTCTAGGGGGCGCCAAAGATGACCAAAAAATCCACATTCTTAAAAGAATCCACATTCCCCCCCCCCCCATGGCACGAGAAAAAGTCAAGTTTTTCCTGCCCATCGCTCAATGGCTCAATCGCATCGCTCTCCAGGCAACACCGTAAGGAGGAGCAACCTGCCATTTGGATATATCCCAGCTGTGTTTGTGCCCTCACTCATGGTCCAGACTTTTTTCAAATAGGACATGAAGTTTGTCTGCAGCGAGTGTTTTGGTAGAAACTGCGCCTCCCATTCATTATAATGGGAAATGACCACAGACAAGTGCGCACACCATCTTTGGACCTTGAGTGTGACGCGATCGGGAGGGGGAGGCAATCACGCTGGGGGCGGCACGACGCGGCTCGGCCCCGACAGTGCCCCACCGGGGCCCTAGTTAGGGCCCGAGCGTAGCTGCTAAGCAGCTGCGAGAGCCCTATTATTCCCCAAGTGGTTTTTCTTTGTTTCTTTCTTTCTTTCTTTCTTTCTTTCTTAGGGCCCGAGCCAGCTGCAGAGCAGCCGGGCGTAGGCCCTATTATTCCCCAAGTGGTTTTTCTTTGTTTCTTTCTTTAGGGCCCGAGCGTAGCTGCTAAGCAGCTGCGAGAGCCCTCTTGTTCCTGCATGTTTCCTTCTTTCGTTATTATTTTTCCTCCGCTTTAAACTGGAAAATGGCCCACTTCCCACTGGCGAAAACTCAGGAAATTTAACAGGACGACCGGGCCTGGTGAAAAATTCGATATTCTGAAGTCGCCCAAACAATAAAATGCAAAATGGCTCCATAGCGCCCCCTAAGGTGAAAATTCACATGACGGCTGTACGCTTTGTCATATTGACACAAAAATTGACACACACATGTATCTCAATAAGATCTACAAAAAAGTCAGTGCGGGCGTATCTGTCAAATGTACGGTTAATGGGTTATTTTGCATTTTTTGCAGATCAGCACACGTTGGAATTTCGCTAACTCCTCCAAAGGCTTTCGTTCGACCGGCACCACATTTGCGCAGGCCAATCTACCCCCCATGGCCATTAAAAGTTGTACAAATCATGACGCTGCACCCCACGGTTTACGTTCTAGGGGGCGCCAAATATAACCCTAAAATCCACATATTTAAAAGTCTTATAACTTTTTATTTTTGTCCTCACTGGCCTCCAAGTTTTCTAGGATGATGCAATGTCCAGCCATCAACACATTTGTGAAGGAATTTTTACTCCCCAAAAGAGCGCCCCCCCATGGCAGGAGAAAAAAGTCCATTTTTTCTTGTCCCCTAAGGTGAAAATACACATTGTTGAGTGTCACGCCTGTACGCTTTGTCATATTGACACAAAATTTGACAATCACGTGTGTCTCAATAACATCTACGAAAAAGTCAATGCACGCATATCTGTAAAATGTACGGTTAAAGGGCTATTTTGCATTTTTTGCCGATTCGCACACATTGGAATGTGGCTAACTCCTCCTAAGGCTTTCGTCCCACTGACACCAAATTTGCTCAGGCCAATCTACACCCCATGGCCATTCAAAGTTGTAAAAATCATGACGCTGCACCCCACGGTTTACGTTCTAGGGGGCGCCAAAGATGACCCAAATATCCACATTCTTAAAAGAATCCACCCCCCCCCCCCATTCCCCATCCCCCATGGCAGGAGAAACAGTCAAGTTTTTCCTGCCCATCACTCAATGGCTCAATCACATCGCTCTCCCGGCAACACCGTAACGAGGAGCAACTTGCCGTTTGGATATATCCTAGCTGTGTTTGTGCCCTCACTCATGGTCCAGACTTTTTTCAAATAGGACATGTAGTTTGTCTGCAGCGAGTGTTTTGGTAGAAACTGCGCCTCCCATTCATTATAATGGGAAATGACCACAGACAAGTGCGCACACCATCTTTGGACCTTGAGTGTGACGCGATCGGGGGGGGGAGGCGGTCGCGCTGGGGGCGGCGCGACGCGGCTCGGGCCCGACAGTGCCCCACCGGGGCCCTAGTTAGGGCCCGAGCGTAGCTGCTAAGCAGCTGCGAGAGCCCTATTATTCCCCAAGTGGTTTTTCTTTGTTTCTTTAGGGCCCGAGCGTAGCTGCTAAGCAGCTGCGAGAGCCCTCTTGTTAGGGCCCGAGCGTAGCTGCTAAGCAGCTGCGAGAGCCCTCTTGTTCCTGTAGTTTCCTTCTTTTGTTATTATTATTAGGGCCCGAGCGTAGCTGCTAAGCAGCTGCGAGAGCCCTATTATTCCCCAAGTGGTTTTTCTTTGTTTCTTTCTTTCTTTCTTTCTTCTTTTTCCTCCCCTTTGAACTGGAAAATGGCCCACTTCCCACTGGCGAAAACTCATGAAATTTGGCAGGAGGACCGGGCCTGGTGAAAAATTTGATATTCTGAAGTCGCCCAAACAATAAAATGCAAAATGGCTCCATAGCGCCCCCTAAGGTGAAAATTCACACTATTGACTGTCACGCCTGTACGCTTTGTCATATTGACACAAAAATTGACACACATATGTATCTCAATAAGATCTACAAAAAAGTCAGTGCGGCCGTATCTGTCAAAATTACGGTTAAAGGGTTATTTCGCATTTTTTGCCGATCCGCACACATTGGAATTTCGCTAACTCCTCCAAAGGCTTTCGTTCCACCGGCACCACATTTGCTCAGGCCAATCTACACCCCGTGGCCATTAAAAGTTATCAAAATCATGACGCTGCACCCCAAGGTTTAGGTTCTAGGGGGCGCCAAAGATAACACTAAAATCCACATATTTAAAAGTCTTATAACTTTTTATTTTTGTCCTCACTGGCCTCCAAGTTTTCTAGGATGATGCAATGTCCAGCCATCAACACATTTGTGAAGGAATTTTTACTCCCCAAAAGAGCGCCCCCCCATGGCAGGAGAAAAAAGTCCATTTTTTCTTGTCCCCTAAGGTGAAAATACACATTGTTGAGTGTCACGCCTATACGCTTTGTCAAAATGACACAAAAATTGACACACACATGTAACTCAATAAGATCTACGAAAAAGTCAATGCGCGCGTATCTGTCAAATGTACGGTTAAAGGGTTATTCCGCATTTTTTGCCGATCCGCACACATTGGAATTTCGCTAACTCCTCCTAAGGCTTTCGTTCCCAACGGCACCACATTTGCTCAGGCCAATCTACACCCCATGGCCATTAAAAGTTATCAAAATCATGACGCTGCACCCCACTGTTTAGGTTCTAGGGGGCGCCAAAGATAATCCTAAAATCCACATATTTAAAAGTCTTATAACTTTTTATTTTTGTCCTCACTGGCCTCCAAGTTTTCTAGGATGATGCAATGTCCAGCCATCAACACATTTGTGAAGGAATTTTTACTCCCCAAAAGAGCGCCCCCCCATGGCAGGAGAAAAAAGTCCATTTTTTCTTGTCCTCTAAGGTGAAAATACATATTGTTGAGATTCACGCCTATACGCTTTGTCATATTGACACAAAATTTGACAATCACGTGCCTTGCCTGGTATCATTTTTTTCAGCACAACCTCACCTGTGCGAATTTACAGTTATTTTATCATGTTGACATACTGAATTTACACAATGGACCCAAATTCACACACAAAACATAAAATCCGAGTGGAAAAAAGTAACATTTTTACTGTGAAAACCACAAATATGTGTGATGAACTGTTTTTAAAACTTAAACTTCAAATAAAAATTGTAAACTTCAAAACATATGCAAATTTTTAACAAAGAACATAGTGATTTACCTCTATTTACATCAAAATGCAGGCAATGGCCCAGGCGTTCTTTGTAAAATTATTTACAAAACACTGTATAGTCTCACAAATGTCACTTTTTATTTATGCCACTACAAAAAAACATGATGTAAATGATGCATGATGTAAAACATGATGTAAAAAACTTGTGTAGATCCTCCTCTATGTCAGTCCATGTGTAATTTTTCCATAATTCTTTGTTTTTTGCAGCATTTTTGTTAGTGTAACTGCAGATTGTGCTGACAGTGTCTATGGCACAAAAAAAAAAAAATTAATTAAAATGCCTCAACATGAACCCCTGGTGGTCTCTGAGGGTGAAACCTGCTAACTGCTGCAGCTCTGTCAGCTTCAGTCTCCCATGCAGAGCTCTGAGCGCATGTGTGGCTCTGCACCCTTAGCAGCGTTGCTAACTCCTCAGTAAGGAAAGCCTGCTTCATGTCAGAGTCTCTAAACTCCAGAAGAAGTCGATAAAAGTCCCTTTCTTTCTAAAAAAAAGTCGTTAGGGGGTCTGAAAAGTCATTGAATCTAACAACAAAGTCGCTAGGTTTGCAACTACGTGTCCCAGACTGCATCCCTGCTGAGAGTCCCTCCCTCCCTTCTCATGTTGCAGGAAGAACGTAAGCGCCCGCCCCTTGTCAATCAGTCACCATATAATTTTGGATTGGTTGTTGTGGTGAAGTTTTCCACCAATAGGAGAGATGTTGTGGTGTGTTTTTTTTTCTTTTGGCAAGCCTTTTCCGCCTGTAAGAGCTGTCGCTAATGTCTGCATGCTATGTTTTCCTGTCTCATACAGCGCGATCGAGCGCCGAATGTGATCAAAATAAGCAGAAAAAAAGTATCGCGGACATAATTTATCATAACTCTGGTTTTATTTGGCCTATCAACACAATTTAAAAACTGGTATATAGGTTGAGGTCCTCACTTTTGAGATAAGTTGAAACGGAGAGTCAACGAGGCTCCGTCTTGCAGCTACATCCGGTTAAATATGTCATGTGACTTGAACGCACACACAGACACACACACACTCACACACACACACACACACACACACACACACACACACACACACACACACTCAGAGTCTGGTTTTTAGCACCTGCAAAAACATGCTATTTACATATTTGACAAGAATGCAGAGGCTCCTTTTGCCCCTGAAAAAAATCAAATTTCAAACACAACTTGACTGGTCATTTCTCCAAAAGACAACCATGAAGCTCCATCCAAACCTGAAGCAGGCAGTTGGTGCATGTGTACAGTAACCTGAGGGGAGTGAGGTGAGTGCTTCTGAGGAGAACATGAGCAGTGAAGATTCACCTTGGAGCTAGAACAGAGACATGCACATGATTATACAGGGGCAGGGGCTCAAGTTTTTTCCAGTCGTTTATACAATATGGAAATTAATGTGAAATTAAAACACAAAGTATTAATAGAAAGGTAATGACTGTCCTGTGTAGGTGACAGTGATATCCAATAGGCTAGGCACTCACGAGGCTGGCTGTGGCAAGTGTAAGTGAAAGCAACACGCACTGGCAGGAAGAACAGCAAACGCAGATGAAGGAAAAGGGTCTTTGCAGTGATGGGCGTTACCAGAGAGGGCGATGGCCAGAGGACACAAATGGGACGGGGAGGCAGCACGTTATGGGGGGGGGGGGGGGGGACGCGACACGGCTCGGGCCCGCCAGTGCCCCAACGGGGTCCTAGTTATTATTATTTTTCCTCCCCTTTGAACTGGAAAATGGCCCACTTCCCACTGGCGAAAACTCATGAAATTTGGCAGGACGACCGGGCCTGGTGAAAAATTTGATATTCCGAAGTCGCCCAAACAAGAAAATGCAAAATGGCTCCATAGCGCCCCCTAAGGTGAAAATTCACACTATTCACTGTCACGCCGGTACGCTTTGTCAAAATGACACAAAAATTGACACACACATGTATCTCAATAAGATCTACAAAAAAGTCAGTGCGGGCGTATCTGTCAAATGTACGGTTAAAGGGTTATTTCGCATTTTTTGCCGATCCGCACACATTGGAATTTCGCTAACTCCTCCGAAGGCTTTCGTTCCACCGGCACCACATTTGCTCAGGCCAATCTACACCCCATGGCCATTAAAAGTTATTCAAATCATGACGCTGCACCCCACGGTTTAGGTTCTAGGGGGCGCCAAAGATAACCCTAAGATCCACATATTTAAAAGTCTTATAACTTTTTATTTTTGCCCTCACTGGCCTCCAAGTTTTCTAGGATGATGCAATGTCCAGCCATCAACACATTTGTGAAGGAATTTTTACTCCCCAAAAGAGCGCCCCCCATGGCAGGAGAAAAAAGTCCATTTTTTCTTGTCCCCTAAGGTGAAAATACACATTGTTGAGTGTAACACCTGTACGCTTTGGCAAAATGACACAAAAATTGACACACACATGTATCTCAATAAGATCTACGAAAAAGTCAATGCGCGCGTATCTGTCAAATGTACGGTTAAAGGGTTATTCTGCATTTTTTGCCGATCCGCACACATTGGAATGTGGCTAACTCCTCCTAAGGCTTTCGTTCCACCGGCACCACATTTGCTCAGGCCAATCTACACCCCATGGCCATTAAAAGTTATTCAAATCATGATGCTGCACCCCACGGTTTAGGTTCTAGGGGGCGCCAAAGATAACCCTAAAATCCACATATTTCAAAGTCTTATAACTTTTTATTTTTGTCCTCACTGGCCTCCAAGTTTTCTAGGATGATGCAATGTCCAGCCATCAACACATTTGTGAAGGAATTTTTACTCCCCAAAAGAGCGCCCCCCCATGGCAGGAGAAAAAAGTCCATTTTTTCTTGTCCCCTAAGGTGAAAATACACATTGTAGAGTGCCACGCCTGTACGCTTTGTC